TAGTCTCCCAGTAACTGCAGCTGAAACATTTTCTCACTGCATGATTCTGCCACCACCATGCTTCACCGTAGGGAGGGTGTCAGGTTTCCTCCAGACGTGATGCTTGGCATTCAGGCCAAAGAGTTCAAACTGGGTTTCATCAGACCAGAGAATCTTGTTTCTGATGGTCTGAGAGTCTTTAGGTGCCTTTTGGCAAACTCCAAGCGGGCTGTCATGCCTTTTACTGAGGAGTGGCTTCTGTCTGACCACTCTACCATAAAGGCCTGATTGGTGGAGTGCTGCAGAGATGGTTGTCCTTCTGGATGGTTCTCCCATCTCGACAGAGGGACTCTGGAGCTCTGTCAGAGTGACCATCTGGTTCTTGGTCACCTCTCTGACCAAGGCCCTTCTCCCGCGATTGCTCAGTTTGGCCGGGCGGCCAGCTCTAGGAAGAGTCTTGGTGGTTCCAAACTTCTTCCATTTAAGAATGATGGAGGCAAAAGTGTTCTTGGGGACCTTCAATGCTGCATAAATGTTTTGTTACCCTTCCCCAGATCTGTGCCCTGACACAATCCTGTCTCGGAGCTCTACGGACAATTCCTTCGACCTCATGGCTAGGTTTTTGCTCTGACATGCACTGTCAACTGTGGGACCTTTATATAGACAGGTGTGTGCCTTTCCAAATTTACATTTGACATTTTTAGTCATTTAGCAGACGCTCTTATCCAGAGCGACTTACAGTTAGTGAATACATATACAGTGAGGGAAAAAAGTATTTGATCCCCTGCTGATTTTGTACGTTTGCCCACTGACAAAGAAATGATCAGTCTATAATTTTAATGGTAGGTTTATTTGAACAGTGAGAGACAGAATAACAACAAAAAAATCCAGAAAAACGCATGTCAACAATGTTATAAATTGATTTGCATTTTAATGAGGGAAATAAGTATTTGACCCCCTCTCAATCAGAAAGATTTCTGGCTCCCAGGTGTCTTTTATACAGGTAACGAGCTGAGATTAGGAGCACACTCTTAAAGGGAGTGCTCCTAATCTCAGTTTGTTACCTGTATAAAAGACACCTGTCCACAGAAGCAATCAATCAATCAGATTCCAAACTCTCCACCATGGCCAAGACCAAAGAGCTCTCCAAGGATGTCAGGGACAAGATTGTAGACCTACACAAGGCTGGAATGGGCTACAAGACCATTGCCAAGCAGCTTGGTGAGAAGGTGAAAACAGTTGGTGCGATTATTCGCAAATGGAAGAAACACAAAATAACTGTCAATCTCCCTCGGCCTGGGGCTCCATGCAAGATCTCACCTCGTGGAGTTGCAATGATCATGAGAACGGTGAGGAATCAGCCCAGAACTACACGGGAGGATCTTGTCAATGATCTCAAGGCAGCTGGGACCATAGTCACCAAGAAAACAACTGGTAACACACTACGCCGTGAAGGACTGAAATCCTGCAGCGCCCGCAAGGTCCCCCTGCTCAAGAAAGTACATATACAGGCCCGTCTGAAGTTTGCCAATGAACATCTGAATGATTCAGAGGAGAACTGGGTGAAAGTGTTGTGGTCAGATGAGACCAAAATCGAGCTCTTTGGCATCAACTCAACTCGCCGTGTTTGGAGGAGGAGGAATGCTGCCTATGACCCCAAGAACACCATCCCCACCGTCAAACATGGAGGTGGAAACATTATGCTTTGGGGGTGTTTTTCTGCTAAGGGGACAGGACAACTTCACCGCATCAAAGGGACGATGGACGGGGCCATGTACCGTCAAATCTTGGGTGAGAACCTCCTTCCCTCAGCCAGGGCATTGAAAATGGGTCGTGGATGGGTATTGATGACAATGACCCAAAACACACGGCCAAGGCAACAAAGGAGTGGCTCAAGAAGAAGTACATTAAGGTCCTGGAGTGGCCTAGCCAGTCTACAGACCTTAATCCCATAGAAAATCTGTGGAGGGAGCTGAAGGTTCGAGTTGCCAAACGTCAGCCTCGAAACCTTAATGACTTGGAGAAGATCTGCAAAGAGGAGTGGGACAAAATCCCTCCTGAGATGTGTGCAAACCTGGTGGCCAACTACAAGAAACGTCTGACCTCTGTGATTGCCAACAAGGGTTTTGCCACCAAGTACTAAGTCATGTTTTGCAGAGGGGTCAAATACTTATTTCCCTCATTTAAAATGCAAATCAATTCATAACATTTTTGACATGCGTTTTTCTGGATTTTTTTGTTGTTATTCTGTCTCTCACTGTTCAAATAAACCTACCATTAAAATTATAGACTGATCATGTCTTTGTCAGTGGGCAAAATACTTTTTTCCCTCACTGTATATATATTTTTTTATACTGGCCCCCCGTGGGAATCAAACCCACAACCCTGGCGTTGCAAACGCCATGCTCTATCAACTGAGCTACATCCCTGCCGGCCATTCCCTCCCCTACCCTGGACGACGCTGGGCCAATTGTGCGCCGCCCATGAGTCTCCCGGTCGCGGCCGGCTGCGACAGAGCCTGGATTCGAACCAGGATCTCTAGTGGCACAGTTAGCACTGCGATGCAGTGCCTTAGACCACTGCGCCACTCAGGAGTATCATGTCCAATCAATTGAATTTACCACAGGTGGACTCCAGTCAAGTTGTAGAAACATCTCAAGGATGATCAATGGAAACAGGATGCACCTGAGCTCAATTTCGAGTTTCATAGCAAAGGGTCTGAATACTTATGTAAATAAGGTATTTCTGTTTTTTATTTTTATTGAATTTGCAAAATAATTCTAAACCTGTTTTCGCTCTCTTATTATGGGATATTGTGTGTAGATAATTGTATCAATTTTAGAATAAGGCTGTAATGTAACAAAATGTGGAAAAACTCTAGGGGTCTGAATACTTTCCAAATGCACTGTATAGCCAAGTTATCGTTACTCATTGTGTATTTATTCCTCGTATTATAATTGTTCTATATTTTTCTCTCTGCATTGTTGGGAAGAGCCCTTAAGTGTGCCTTTCACTCTTCGTCTACACCTGTTGTTTACGAATCATGTGACAAATGAGATTTGATATCTCATAGTGAAGCAGTTCTCTGTTGTAAATTGGATTTAGAGGTAGCCAGACCCCAGTTAGATGGAGATTTACAGTCTGTGCACTATACTGGATGCCGTCATCACTTTGAGATCTCTACCCATTGTTTCCCCAAGGATTTGAACTTTCTCCTGTTGGTTACAAATCTTCATTACTATTTGATGTATCCCTCACACATTTTCTCCTTCTCTTTCTCTCTAGATCCTCACATTCGAAACGAAGAACCCTGCGGAGCTGGCTGAGCGTCTCCGTGCCATCTGTGGTAACCAAAGCAATGCGTATGCCCGCCTGTTTGAGTACCGTTTGAATGCGCTGCGGGGCCTGTGGGGGGCTCAGCGTCAGCTGGCCCTGGAGGAACAGCAGGACCGGGAGGGGGCCGGAGGTGGGGATGAGGAGGCCCTGGCCCTGCTAAAACGACAGGGCCTGCTGCAGCAGCCTGAACAGGCGCCTTTCACTTCCCGCGTGGGCCTGCTACTGGTCTTCCCCCTGCTGCAGTCCCAGACACGCAGTGACCCAGCGCTCTGTGGGGTCACGGCGGAGGTGCTGCTGTCTTGCCTGCGTGACTGCCAGCCCCTCAGCCTCAGCAAGGAACCCGCCGACTGCCTCAACGGCCTGGAGGGGCTGCTCTGCTCCTGGCTGGAGGAGGGGGTCCAGCAGACAGCACAGACACAGCAGGGACAGGCTCCAACATACATGTTCCATGCACACAGGCAGAGGGAGAACGCTGCCGCTGCCCTGGTAGCCCTCGCATGTGCCAGGTGAGACCACACCCTTAACACCAGCAGACACCACAAGTGACTAAAATGTATAAGAGGATAGAGTAGTATTCTGGATCATCTGATTCTGCTTAGCTGTCTGGCTCATTTACTCCAGCTTCCTAATACTGCCCAAATGGTGATTAGGCAAGCCCTATAGTTACAGTTACAGTTACGTCATTTAGCAGACGCTCTTATCCAGAGCGACTTACAGTTAGTGAGTGCATACATTATTTTTTATTTAAAAAAAATAATCATACTGGCCCCCCGTGGGAATCGAACCCACAACCCTGGCGTTGCAAACGCCATGCTCTACCAACTGAGCTACACCAACTGAGTGTCATCCCATTTCTGTTTTCACTTTCAGTGTCCTAGCTAGTCCCTGTCAGTGTCCTAGCTAGCCCCTGTCAGTGTCCTAGCTAGCCCCTGTTAGTGTCTTAGCTAGCCCCTGTCAGTGTCTTAGCTAGCCCCTGTCAGTGTCTTAGCTAACCCCTGTCAGTGTCTTAGCTAACCCCTGTCAGTGTCTTAGCTAGCCCCTGTCAGTGTCTTAGCTAGCCCCTGTCAGTGTCTTAGCTAGCCCCTGTCAGTGTCTTAGCTAGCCCCTGTCAGTGTCTTAGCTAGCCCCTGTCAGTGTCTTAGCTAGCCCCTGTCAGTGTCTTAGCTAGCCCCTGTCAGTGTCCTAGCTAGCCCCTGTCAGTGTCCTAGCTAGCCCCTGTCAGTGTCCTAGCTAGCCCCTGTCAGTGTCCTAGCTAGCCCCTGTCAGTGTCCTAGCTAGCCCCTGTCAGTGTCCTAGCTAGCCCCTGTCAGTGTCCTAGCTAGCCCCTGTCAGTGTCCTAGCTAGCCCCTGTCAGTGTCCTAGCTAGCCCCTGTCCGTGATGCTTGTTGCACTGGGGTGTTTTGTGTTTCACCTAGGTCACATAGGAAAGCACCCTTTTCTTTCACTGGCTGCAGCCCGGCTTCTGCTGTTGACAACTGAGCTTGACTTGTCAAAACCAGAACCATCCCCCTTTGTGTGCCCTCTGTAGAGCCTGAGAGCCCATTGTGTCAGGGAACCATCCAGTCCTAGTGCTCTGTCTTTCACCAACAGTGGTGGCTAGTTAAAGAGCTAGGCTATCCTCTGTCTCCCCCTCTGATGGTATTGGTGTGCCGTATCACTGTGTTTTTGTGTAAGCGCTGCAGAGTATGCTAACTGTTTCTCGTCAGTGTGACGTCACCAGCTGGTGAGAATTATGTTTTAGTGTAATGTGGTCTGCGGTGGGAAGGGGGATGCTGGTTCCAGGCTGAATCATCTGTTGTTTATTACATGTGGGAACCAGCATGACTCATTTGAATACAGTTACCTAAGCCACACTCACAGACAAAAACACTGACACACAATGATACATTCAATATCTTTCCAATACAGTGCATTCGGAAAGTATTCAGACCCCTTGACTTTTTCCACATTTTGTTACATTACAGACTTATTCTAAAATTGATTAAATCGTTTTTCCCCTCAATCTACACACAATACCCCATAATGTGGTCCTCTGTAGCTCAATTGGTGGTAGAGCATGGCGCTTGTAACGCCAGGGTAGTGGGTTCGATCCCCGGGACCACCCATACGTAAAAATGTCTGCGCACATGACAGTAAGTCGCTTTGGATAAAAGCGTCTGCTAAATAGCATATTATTATTATTATTATTATTATTATTATTATTATTATTAATGACAAAGGAAAAACAGTTTTTTTTTGTGCAAATGTATAAAAATAAATAAATGGAAATATTACATTTACATAAGTATTCAGACCCTTTACTCAGTACTTTGTTGAAGCACCTTTGGCAGCAATTACAGCTTCTAGTCTTCTTGGGTATGACTATACAATTCTCTGCAGATCCTCTCAAGCTCTGTCAGGTTGGATGGGGAGCGTCGCTGCACAGCTATTTTCAGGTCTCTCCTGAGATGTTCGATCGGGTTCAAGTCCGGGCTCTTGCTGGGCCACTCAAGGACATTCAGAGACTTACATTTACATTTTAGTAATTTAGCAGACGCTCTTATCCAGAGCGACTTACAGTTAGTGAGTGCATACATTTTCATACAGACTTGTCCCGAAGCAACTTGTCTTGGCTGTGTGCTTAGGGTCGTTGTCCTGTTGGAAGGTGAACCTTTGCCCCAGTCTGAGGTCCTGAGCGCTCTGGAGCAGGTTTTCATCAAGGATCTCTCTGTACTTTGCTCCGTTCATCTTTCCCTCAAACCCTGGCTAGTCTTCCAGTCCCTGCCGCTAAAAAACATCCCCACAGCATGATGCTGCCACCACCATGCTTCACCGTAAAGATGGTGCTATGTTTCATCTAGACGTGACGCTTGGCATTCAGGCCAAAGAGTTCAAACTGGGTTTCATCAGACCAGAGGATCTTGTTTCTCGTGGTCTGAGAGTCCTTTAGGTGCCTTTTGGCAAACTCCAAGCGGGCCATCATGTGCCTTTTTACTGAGGAGCGGCATCCGTCTAGCCACTCTACCATAAAGGCCTGATTGGTGGAGTGCTGCAGAGATGGTTGTCCTTCTGGAAGGTTCTCCCATCTCCACAGAGGAACTCTGGAGCTCTGTGAGAGTGACCATCGGGTTCTTGGTCACCTCCCTGAACAAGGCCCTTCTCCCCCGATTGCTCAGTTTGGCCAGGCGGCCAGCTCCAAACTTCTTCCATTTAAGAATGATGGAGGCCACAGTGTTCTTGGGGACCTTCAATGCTGCAGAAATGTTTTGGTACCCTTCCCCAGATCTGTACCTCGACACAATCCTGTTTCGGAGCTCTAAGGACAATTCCTTGGACCTCATGGCTTGGTTGTTGCTCTGACATGCACTGTCAACTGTGGGACCTTATATATAGACAGGTGTGTGCCTTTCCAAATCATGTACAATCAATTGAATTTACCACAGGTGGACTCCAGTCAAGTTGTAGAAACATCTCAAGGATGATCAATGGAAACAGGTCTCATAGCAAAGGGTTAGAATTTTTATTTATTTATTTTATTTCACCTTTATTTAACCAGGTAGGCCAGTTGAGAACAAGTTCTCATTTACAACTGTGACCTGGCCAAGATAAAGCAAAGCAGTGCGATAAAAACAACAACACAGAGTTACATATGGGTTAAAACAAAACATAAAGTCAAAAATACAACAGAAAATATATATACAGTGTGTGCAAATGTAGCAAGTTATGGGGGTAAAGCAATAAATAGGCCATAGTGCAAAATAATTACAATTAGTATTAACACTGGAATGATAGATGTGCAAGAGATGATGTGCAAATAGAGATACTGGGGTGCAAATTAGCAAAATAAATAACAATATGGGGATGAGGTAGTTGGGTGGGCTAATTTCAAATGGGCTGTGTAATAATAAATAATAATAATATGCCATTTAGCAGACGCTTTTATCCAAAGGGACTTAGTCATGCGTGCATACATTTTTGTGTATGGGTGGTCCCGGGGATCGAACCCACTACCTTGGCGTTACAAGCGCCGTGCTCTACCAGCTGAGCTACAGAGGACCACAGTGTACAGGTGCAGTGATCGGTAAGCTGCTCTGACAACTGATGCTTAAAGTTAGTGAGGGAGAGTCTCCAGCTTCAGAGATTTTTGCAGTTCGTTCCAGTCATTAGCAGCAGAGAACTGGAAGGAATGGCGGCCAAAGGAGATCTTGGCTTTGGGGATGACCGGTGAGAAATACCTGCTGGAGCGCATACTACGGGTGGGTGTTGCTATGGTGACCAATGAGCTAAGATAAGGCAGGGATTTGCCTAGCAGTGATTTATAGATGACCTGGAGCCAGTGGGTTTGGCGACGAATATGTAGTGAGGACCAGCCAACAAGAGCGTACAGGTCACAGTGGTGGGTAGTATATGGGGCTTTGGTGACAAAACGGATGGCACTGTGATAGACTACATCCAATTTACTGAGTAGAGTGTTGGAGGCTATTTTGTAAATGACATCGCCGAAGTCAAGGATTGGTAGGATAATCTGTTCCGGACGACTATGTGATCACGCTCTCCGTAGCCGATGTGAGTAAGACTTTTAAGCAGGTCAACATTCACAAGGCCGCAGGGCCAGACGGATTACCAGGACGTGTACTCTGAGCATGTGCTGACCAACTGGCAAGTGTCTTCACTGACATTTTCAACATGTCCCTGACTGAGTCTGTAATACCAACATGTTTCAAGCAGACCACCATAGTCCCCGTGCCCAAGAACTCTAAGATAACCTGCCTAAATGACTACCGACCCGTAGCACTGACGTCTGTAGCCATGAAGTGCTTTGAAAGACTGGTCATGGCTCACATCAACAGCATAATCCCAGAAACCCTAGACCCACTCCAATTTGCATACCGCCCCAACAGATCCACAGATGATGCAATCTCTATCGCACTCCACACTGCCCTTTCCCACCTGGACAAGAGGAACACCTACGTGAGAATGCTATTCATTGACTACAGCTCAGCATTCAACACCATAGTGCCCTCTAAGTTCATCACTAAGCTAAGGATCCTGGGACTAAACACCTCCCTCTGCAACTGGATCCTGGACTTCCTGACGGGCCGCCCCCAGGTGGTAAGGGTAGGTAACAACACATCTGCCACACTGATCCTCAACACGGGGGGCCCCTCAGGGGTGCGTGCTCAGTCCCCTCCTGTACTCTCTGTTCACCCATGACTGCATGGCCAGGCACGGCTCCAACACCATCATTAAGTTTGCCGACGACACAACAGTGGTAGGCCTGATCACCGACAACGATGAGACAGCCTATAGGGAGGAGGTCAGAGATCTGGCCGTGTGGTGCCAGGACAACAACCTCTCCCTCAACGTGACCAAGACAAAGGAGATGATTGTGGACTACAGGAAAAAAAAGAGGACTGAGCACGCCCCCATTCTCATCGACGGGGCTGTAGTGGAACAGGTTGAGAGCTTCAAGTTCCTTGGTGTCCACATCACCAACGAACTATCATGGTCCAAACACACCAAGACAGTCGTGAAGAGGGCACGACAAAGCCTATTCCCCCTCAGGAGACTAAAAAGATTTGGCATGGGTCCTCAGATCCTCAAAAAATTCTACAGCTGCACCATCGAGAGCATCCTGACTGGTTGCATCACCGCCTGGTATGGCAACTGCTTGGCCTCTGACCGCAAGGCACTACAGAGGGTAGTGCGTACGGCCCAGTACATCACTGGGGCCAAGCTTCCTGCCATCCAGGACCTCTATACCAGGCGGTGTCAGAGGAAGGCCCTCAAAATTGTCAAAGACTCCAGCCACCCTAGTCATAGACTGTTCTCTCTGCTACCGCACGGCAAGCGGTACCGGAGTGCCAAGTCTAGGTCCAAAAGACTTCTCAACAGCTTCTTCCCCCAAGCCATAAGACTCCTGAACAGCTAATCATGGCTACCCGGACTATTTGCACTGCCCCCCCACCCCATCCTTTTTACGCTGCTGCTACTCTGTTAAGTATTTATGCATAGTCACTTTAACTCTACCCACATGTACATATTACCTCAACTACCTCAACTAGCCGGTGCCCCCGCACATTGACTCTGCAACGGTACCCCCCTGTATATATAGCCTCCCTACTGTCACTTTATTTTACTGTATATATAGCCTCCCTACTGTCACTTTATTTTACTTCTGCTCTTTTTTTCCTCAACACTTTTTTTGTTGTTGTTTTATTCTTACTTTTTTTGTTTAAAATAAATGCACTGTTGGTTAAGGGCTGTAAGTAAGCATTTCACTGTAATGTCTGCACCTGTTGTATTCGGCGCATGTGACCAATAAAATTTGATTTGATTTGATTTGATAATCAGTTTTACGAGGGCATGTTTGGCAGCATGAGTGAAGGAGGCTTTGTTTGCGAAATAGGAAGCCGATTCTAGATTTAACTTTGGATTGGAGATGCTTAATGTTTATCTGGAAGGAGAGTTTACAGTCTAACCAGATACCTAGGTATTTGTAGTTGTCCACATACTCTAGGTCAGACCTGTCGAGAGTAGTGATTCTAGTCGGGTGGGCGGGTTCCAGCAGCGTTCGATTGAAGAGCATGCATTTAGATTTACTTGTGTTTAAGAGCAGTTGGAGGCTACGGAAGGAGTGTTGTATGGCATTGAAGCTCGTTTGGAGGTTTGTTAACACAGTGTCCAATGAAGGGCCAGATGTATACAAAATTGTGTCGTCTGCGTAGAGGTGGATCTTAGAATCACCAGCAGCAAGAGCGACATCATTGATATACACAGAGAAAAGAGTCGGCCCAATAATTTAACCCTGTGGCACCCCCATAGAGACTGCCATAGGTCCAGACAACAGGCCCTCCGATTTGACACATTGAACTCTATCTGAGAAGTAGTTGGTGAACCAGGCAAGGCAGTCATTTGAGAAACCAAGGCTATTTAATCTGCCAATAAGAATGCGGTGGTTGACAGAGTCGAAAGCCTTGGCCAGGTCGATGAAGACGGCTGCACAGTACTGTCTATTATCGATTGTGGTTATAATATCGTTTAGGACCTTGAGCGTGGCTGAGGTGCGCCCATGACCAGCTCGGAAACCGGATTGCATAGCGGAGAAGGTACTGTGGGATTCAAAATGGTCGGTGATCTGTTTGATAACTTGGCTTTCAAAACCTTCCGAAAGGCAGGGCAGGATGGATCTGTAACAGTTTGGATCTAGAGTGTCACCCCCTTTGAAGAGGGGGATGACCGCGGCAGCTTTCCAATCTCTGGGGATCTCAGACGTTACGAAAGAGAGGTTGAACAGGCTAGTAACAGGGGTTGCGACAATTTTGGCGGCTAATTTTAGAAAGAAAGGGTCCAGATTGTCTAGCCCAGATGATTTGTAGGGGTCCAGATTTTGCAGCTCTTTCAGAACATCAGCTGTCTGAATTTGTGTGAAGGAGAAGCGGGAGGGGTGCAGAGCTTGTGGCCGGGGTAGTGGTAGCCAGGTGGAAAGCATGACCAGCCGTCGCAAAATGCTTGTTGTAATTCTCGATTATTGTAGATTTATCGGTGGTGATAGTGTTTCCTAGCCTCAGTGCAGTGGGCAGCTGGGAGGAGGTGCTCTTATTCTCCATGGACTTTACAGTGTCCCAAAACTTTTTGGAGTTAGTGCTACAGGATGCACATTTCTGTTTGAAAAAGCTAGCCTTTGCTTTCCTAACTGCTTGTGTATATTGGTTCCTAACTTCCCTGAAAAGTTGCATATCGCGGGGGCTATTCGATGCTAATGCAGTACGCCACAGGATGTTTTTGTGCTGGTCAAGGGCAGTCAAGTCTGAGGAGAACCGGGGGCTATATCTGTTCTTAGTTCTGAATTTTTTGAATGGGGCATGCTTATTTAAGATTGAGAGGAAAGCACTTTTAAAGAACAACCAGGCGTCCTCTACTGACGGAATGAGATCGATATCCATCCAGAATACCTGGGCCAGGTCAATTAGGAAGGCCTGCTCGCTAAAGTGTTTTAGGGAGCGTTTGACAGTGATGAGGGGTGGTCGTTTGACTGCGGACCCGTTACGGACGCAGGCAGTGATCGCTGAGTTAGTCAGGATGATATCTATAAGGGTGCCCATGTTTACGGATTTAGGGTTGTACCTGGTAGGTTCCTTGATAATTTGTGTGAGATTGAGGGCATCTAGTTTGGATTGGGTCAACAAGCAGTACGAACTCTGAGGATAGATGTGGAGCAATCAATTCACATATGGTGTCCAGGGCACAGCTGGGGTCTGAGGGGGGTCTGTAGCAAGCGGCAATAGTGAGAGACTTATTTCTGGAAAGGTGGATTTTTAGAAGTAGAAGCTGAAACTGTTTGGGCACAGACCTGGATAGTATGATAGAGCTCTGCAGGCTATTTCTACAGTAGATTGCAACTCCACCCCCTTTGGCAGTTCTATCTAGACGGAAAATGTTGTAGTTGGGGATGGAAATATCTGAATTTTTGGTGGCCTTCCTAAGCCAGGATTCAGACACTGCTAGAACATCAGGGTTGGCGGAGTGTGCTAACGCAGTGAATAACTCAAACATAGGGAGGAGGCTTCTGATGTTAACATGCAAAAAAATCAATGCTTTTACGGTTACAGAAGTCAACAAATGATAGTGCCTGGGGAGTAGGAGTGATACTGGGGGCTGCAGGGGTTAACCTCTACATCACCAGAGGAGGAGTAGAATAAGGATACGGCTAAAGGCTTTAAGAACTGGTCTTCTAGTGCGTTGGGTACAGAGAATAAAGGGGGCAGATTTCCGTGCGTTGTAGAATAGATTCAGGGCATTATGTACAGACAAGGATATGGAAGGATATTAGTACAGTGGAGGTGCGTGTATGGGGGGTGGAAAAATGAGCTATTTGAGGCAGTTTGAGAGGGACTTGGGACTCTACAGTGAAATTGTATAATAAGAACTAACTGGAACAGCAATAGGCAAGGCATATTGACATGGGAGAGAGGCATAAAGCAATCACAGGTGTTATTCGAGCTAAGACAACAACTGGTAATGGCGATGAAAGTTTGGGCTGAGGCTAAACAGATAAACAGGACACGGTACCGTGTAAAGGAACAGTCCAGCAGGCATCAGCTGTGCAGCTGAGTGATCATAAGGTCCAGTGAACAGCAATATGTGAGTCCGAGAGCAGTTCGAATTGGTGCTATAGCACAGGCGAGCAGGAAGCTCGGCTGTTATTTGCGTGTGCTAGCCGGCCGGGGCTAGCAGATGGATGTTGTGGTCGTCGCAACGCCTGTTGAAACCACAGACGATTACGTCGGCAGACCAGTCGTGATGGATCGGCGGGGCTCCGTGTCGACTCTAGGAGGTCCCGTCCGGTTGATAGAGAGGTAGATAGCCGGGAGATGGGCCTGACTCAAGGCTAGCTCAAGGCTGATTAGCCAACAACAACATCCATTTGGTTGCAGCTAGCTAGTTGCGATGATCCGGTGTTAAAGGTCCAGTGATTCAGTGATTCCGGCAGAAGAAACTGTATGTTCTGGGTGAAAAACCGCTAACGGTGGCTATTTAGCAAGTAGCTAGTTAGCTGGCTAGCTAGTTTCAACTGGATATTCTAGATAAAAGGTAAGTCAATAATAGTATCCGTTCCACATTGAGTGAGGCGGGTTGCAGGAAAGTATATTTAGTAGATGGATGAAAAGTGTGATAGGGAAATATGTACGAAAAATACAAAAAAATTACAAAAAAACAGGCTATTTACACGGACACACAAGAGTACACGACCGCACTGCTACGCCATTTTGGATACAAGAATACTTACAGTGGGGAAAAAAAGTATTTAGTCAGCCACCAATTGTGCAAGTTCTCCCACTTAAAAAGATGAGAGAGGCCTGTAATTTTCATCATAGGTACACGTCAACTATGACAGACAAAATAAGAAAAAGAAATCCAGAAAATCACATTGTAGGATTTTTAATGAATTTATTTGCAAATTATGGTGGAAAATAAGTATTTGGTCAATAACAAAAGTTTCTCAATACTTTGTTATATACCCTTTGTTGGCAATGACACAGGTCAAACGTTTTCTGTAAGTCTTCACAAGGTTTTCACACACTGTTGCTGGTATTTTGGCCCATTCCTCCATGCAGATCTCCTCTAGAGCAGTGATGTTTTGGGGCTGTCGCTGGGCAACACGGACTTTCAACTCCCTCCAAAGATTTTCTATGGGGTTGAGATCTGGAGACTGGCTAGGCCACTCCAGGACCTTGAAATGCTTCTTACGAAGCCACTCCTTCGTTGCCCGGGCGGTGTGTTTGGGATCATTGTCATGCTGAAAGACCCAGCCACGTTTCATCTTCAATGCCCTTGCTGATGGAAGGAGGTTTTCACTCAAAATCTCACGATACATGGCCCCATTCATTCTTTCCTTTATACGGATCAGTCGTCCTGGTCCCTTTGCAGAAAAACAGCCCCAAAGCATGATGTTTCCACCCCCATGCTTCACAGTAGGTATGGTGTTCTTTGGATGCAACTCAGCATTCTTTGTCCTCCAAACACGACGAGTTGAGTTTTTACCAAAAAGTTCTATTTTGGTTTCATCTGACCATATGACATTCTTCCAATCCTCTTCTGGATCATCCAAATGCACTCTAGCAAACTTCAGACGGGCCTGGACATGTACTGGCTTAAGCAGGGGGACACGTCTGGCACTGCAGGATTTGAGTCCCTGGCGGCGTAGTGTGTTACTGATGGTAGGCTTTGTTACTTTGGTCCCAGCTCTCTGCAGGTCATTCACTAGGTCCCCCCGTGTGGTTCTGGGATTTTTGCTCACCGTTCTTGTGATCATTTTGACCCCACGGGGTGAGATCTTGCGTGGAGCCCCAGATCGAGGGAGATTATCAGTGGTCTTGTATGTCTTCCATTTCCTAATAATTGCTCCCACAGTTGATTTCTTCAAACCAAGCTGCTTACCTATTGCAGATTCAGTCTTCCCAGCCTGGTGCAGGTCTACAATTTTGTTTCTGGTGTCCTTTGACAGCTCTTTGGTCTTGGCCATAGTGGAGTTTGGAGTGTGACTGTTTTGAGGTTGTGGACAGGTGTCTTTTATACTGATAACAAGTTCAAACAGGTGCCATTAATACAGGTAACGAGTGGAGGACAGAGGAGCCTCTTAAAGAAGAAGTTACAGGTCTGTGAGAGCTAGAAATCTTGCTTGTTTGTAGGTGACCAAATACTTATTTTCCACCATAATTTGCAAATAAATTCATAAAAAATCCTACAATGTGATTTTCTGGATTTTTTTCCTCAATTTGTCTGTCATAGTTGACGTGTACCTATGATGAAAATTACAGGCCTCTCTCATCTTTTTAAGTGGGAGAACTTGCACAATTGGTGGCTGACTAAATACTTTTTCCCCCCACTGTATGTAAATAATGTATTTCTGTTTTTTAATTTTTTTTAATTTGTTTATTATACATTTAGCGGACGCTCTTATCCAGAGCGACTTACAGGAGCAATTAGGGTTAAGTGCCTTGCTTAAGGGCACATCGACAGATTTTTCACCTTGTCTGCTCGGGGATTAGAACCAGCGACCTTTCGGTTACTGGCACAACGCTCTTACCCACTAAGCTACCTATTTATTTGTAATACATTTCTAAAAACCTGTTTTCGCTTTGTCATTATGGGGTATTGTATGTAGATTGATGAGGAACATTTTTAATTGAATCCATTTTAGAATAAGGCTGTAACGTAACAAATGTGGAAAAAGTCAAGGGGTCTGAATACTTTCCTATGACTGTGGACAACGCTGAAGCAGAAAGTACACGCGTTGTATTATACTGTACTATCCTAGAAGCATGCATACACACACATACACGACACAGCTGAAGCATGGCATAACATTCCCTTTAGTGCACACAACTAGACCTACCTGATGAGACCTCTCAACTGCACTGACTTTCACTCCCTCCAATTCCCTGGTTTAACACATGTGCTTTGTGTTTCCAGGGGGTCCCTGAAGACCTTCATCCACACTGTTCACCTGCTGCAGAAACAAACAGACCTGGGCCAGCTCCCTGTGGCTGATGTGCTCTACAGGTGAGTCTAGTATCCTCATGTCTGGATGTGCTTGATGAGACTCCCTTGTGTCCCTTCCCTGTCTTGCTGAGGTTGTGACCTCTTTCTCTCCCCATCTGTCCCACCCAGACTCCTAGTGCTGGAGGGGGGGCCAGGCTCCCCGTCCTGTCTGCTAGGGGGCAAGCACAGCGTCTCCTGGGGCTTTGAGGACATGCTGCCTACGCCTGACAGCAGCGCTGGAGGGGCAGAGAGCAAAGGTAAGCCTGTGTGTGTATGAGAACAATAGCTCCATTGGCCTTGGGACAGGGGGAAAACCTTAATTAAACTGGACCTGGGAGAGGTTTCAACAGAGGTTGCTTTTTTGAAAGCTCAAAAGATATTCCGGTCTATTGATCTATGGGTCATTTTTGTGCTGTCAGATTGTTCTCCATTCTCACAGTACCATTATAGAGTAATTTGTATGGAAGTGCTCTGTATGTGCAGTTGTTAGGTGTGTTTCCTTTGTGTGGATACAGGAAGTGAATAGGCCTAGACATGTTTATTTTGTGATTTTCTGGCTGTTAAGTGACAAGTATTGTGTGATGGTGACATGGGGTGACTCTGCTGGCCCTCAGAATCCTCACTGCCTCTCATTATGATTTATTCATTCACCTCTTTAGATCTTTTATATTTGATCCTTTGTCTGGAGCCAGTAAGAACTCCAACATTTAGCCGGAGAGGGAGACATGGAGTCATCATGTGCTGATTTCATTCTGTCTCATTGGCTGAGGCTGCTGAGGAGGTCATCATGTGTTGGTGACTGGCAGAAGTTAGGGGGAGAAAGAGGAAGTGAGGGTGATGGCTTGTTTCCTCCAATCGATGGGCTGACCTTGGAGAGCCCTGTAAGGCGATAGGACCTCAGCAGCTCCCACTATAGGAGGCCAGTTGAGAGGCAGAAACATGGCAGCTAGAGAATATATTAGAGCTGGCTGGCTGTGGGCTGGGGGCCTTATCCCTTCTCTACGTAAAATGTCTGCACGCATGACTGTAAGTCACTTTGGATAAAAGCGTCTGCTAAATGGCATATACAGTACTTAAGATGCTTAATAAGTGACAACAAATATATAAAGATAACTTTATCCCATTACTCAACAACATGAAAACAGATCTAATTAAATGGAACCATTTTCCCATAAATCTTTCAGGTAGAATAAACCTTTTTAGAATGGCATGGCTCCCAAAGTTTTTAGATTTATTTTCAGTAATACCAATTACCCCACCAAAGACATTCTTTAAAAAAGTGTACTTGGTCATAACAGACTTTATATGGGTAGATAAAACTCCTAGAATAAAAAGGAACGTTTTAAATCTTCCTAAGTCTGAGGGTGGTTTTAACCATCCGGACTTGGAATTGTATCAACTTGCCACCCTAGACTTTTACTTGCGACATATAGTTAAATGCACTAAAGAGGAACTATGGGTACATATTGAAGATGCGCATGCTCATCCCCAGAATCTTTTTACGTGTCTATTTTCAAAGGATAAAGCTAAGAACATTAACAACTTCATAGTTAAGAACACTATAACAGTATGGAAGAAAATTAAACAGATTCTACAAAAAATATTATCACTCCCTAAAAACACAGCTTTATGGAACAATCCTTGGATAGCGTTTCAGAATTAATCGATAAATTGGCCCACATGGAAAACTAAAGGCATAGAAATCGTAAATGACGTGGTAATAGGAAATACAATTATTACAGAATTAAAAAGCTTTTGGTCATGTAGTTTATTTATTATTATTATATATTATATTCAAACACAAATTATCAATTGGACATTTAGGGCTATACTATGACTGTCCCTGCTGTCTGCACCATGGTTCCTCACACTGGGGAGAAGATATGAGAAAGCAAACGGATGGACATTATGTCATGTCGTCTCACCCCTTCCACTGTTATTGTCCCTTGCTCTCTATACTGTCCTCCCTCTTTCCCCCCTTCCCTGTTTCTTTGCCCCCCCCCTTCCGTTTTTTCTCTCTCCGCTGTTTCTCACCCCGTCTCTTCCTCCCTCCCTGCTGTTGCAGACACAGACCTGGGGCGCTGCCTGGCCACAGACGGGCTCTATCTCTACACCACTAACTCCTTTGGGAGAGGAATCAGCAAGCTGGGCTCCGGTTTGCACGGGACACTGAGGTAACATGGCACCCCTGACTACATATGTAGAGAGAGTGATAATGCAGCGTGAGAGTAAAATGTACAGTGGGGAAAAAAAGTATTTAGTCAGCCACCAATTGTGCAAGTTCTCCTACTTAAAAAGATGAGAGAGGCCTGTAATTTTCATCATAGGTACACGTCAACTATGGCAGACAAAATGAGAAAAAAATAATCCGAAAATCACATTGTAGGATTTTTAATGAATTTATTTGCAAATTATGGTGGAAAATAAGTATTTGGTCAATAACAAAAGTTTCTCAATACTTTGTTATATACACTTTGTTGGCAATGACACAGGTCAAACGTTTTCTGTAAGTCTTCACAAGGTTTTCACACACTGTTGCTGGTATTTTGGCCCATTCCTCCATGCAGATCTCCTCTAGAGCAGTGATGTTTTGGGGCTGTCGCTGGGCAACACGGACTTTCAACTCCCTCCAAAGATTTTCTATGGGGTTGAGATCTGGAGACTGGCTAGGCCACTCCAGGACCTTGAAATGCTTCTTACGAAGCTACTCCTTCGTTGCCGTGGCGGTGTGTTTGGGATCATTGTCATGCTGAAAGACCCAGCCACGTTTCATCTTCAATGCCCTTGCTGATGGAAGGAGGTTTTCACTCAAAATCTCACGATACATGGCCCCATTCATTCTTTCCTTTACACGGATCAGTCGTCCTGGTCCCTTTGCAGAAAAACAGCCCCAAAGCATGATGTTTCCACCCCCATGCTTCACAATAGGTATGGTGTTCTTTGGATGCAACTCAGCATTCTTTGTCCTCCAAACACGACGAGTTGAGTTTTTACCAAAAAGTTCTATTTTGGTTTCATGTGACCATATGACATTCTCCCAATCCTCTTTTGGATCATCCAAATGCACTCTAGCAAACTTCAGATGGGCCTGGACATGTACTGGCTTAAGCAGGGGGACACGTCTGGCACTGCAGGATTTGAGTCCCTGGCGGCGTAGTGTGTTACTGATGGTAAGCTTTGTTACTTTGGTCCCAGCTCTCTGCAGGTCATTCACTAGGTCCCCCCGTGTGGTTCTGGGATTTTTGCTCACCGTTCTTGTGATCATTTTGACCCCACGGGGTGAGATCTTGCGTGGAGCCCCAGATCGAGGGAGATTATCAGTGGTCTTGTATGTCTTCCATTTCCTAATAATTCCTCCCTTCAGTTGATTTCTTCAAACCAAGCTGCTTACCTATTGCAGATTCAGTCTTCCCAGCCTGGTGCAGGTCTACAATTTTGTTTCTGGTGTCCTTTGACAGCTCTTTGGTCTTGGCCATAGTGGAGTTTGGAGTGTGACTGTTTGAGGTTGTGGACAGGTGTATTTTATACTGATAACAAGTTCAAACAGGTGCCATTAATACAGGTAACGAGTGGAGGACAGATGAGCCTCTTAAATAAGAAGTTACAAGTCTGTGAGAGCCAGAAATCTTGCTTGTTTGTAGGTGACCAAATATTTATTTTCCACCATAATTTGCAAATAAATTCATTAAATGTGATTTTCTGGATTTCTTTTTCTCAATTTGTCTGTCATAGTTGACGTGTACCTATGATGAAAATTACAGGCCTCTATCATCTTTTTAAGTGGGAGAACATGCACAATTGGTGGCTGACTAAATACTTTTTTTCCCCACTGTATGTGTGTGTGTGTGTGTGTGTATGTATGTATGTATGTATGTATATATATATATATATATATATATATATATATATATATATATATATATATATATATATACACACACACACACAGTGAGGGGAAAAAAGTATTTGATCCCCTGCTGATTTTGCACGTTTGCCCACTGACAAAGAAATTATCAGTCTATAATTTTAATGGTAGGTTTATTTGAACAGTGAGAGACAGAATAACAACAAAAAAATCCAGAAAAACGCATTTCAAAAATGTTATAAATTGATTTGCATTTTAATGAGGGAAAAAAGTATTTGGCCCCCTCTCAATCAGAAAGATTTCTGGCTCCCAGGTGTCTTTTATACAGGTAAAGCTGAGATTAGGAGCACACTCTTAAAGGGAGTGCTCCTAATCTCAGCTTGTTACCTGTATAAAAGACACCTGTCCACAAAAGCAATCAATCAATCAGATTCCAAACTCTCCACCATGGCCAAGACCAAAGAGCTCTCCAAGGATGTCAGGGACAAGATTGTAGACCTACACAAGGCTGGAATGGGCTACAAGACCATCGCCAAGCAGCTTGGTGAGAAGTTGACAACAGTTGGTGCGATTATTCGCAAATGGAAGAAACACAAAATAACTGTCAATCTCCCTCGGCCTGGGGCTCCATGCAAGATCTCACCTCGTGGAGTTGCAATGATCATGAGAACGGTGAGGAATCAGACCAGAACTACACGGGAGGATCTTGTCAATGATCTCAAGGCAGCTGGGACCATAGTCACCAAGAAAACAATTGGTAACACACTACGCCGTGAAGGACTGAAATCCTGCAGCGCCCGCAAGGTCGCCCTGCTCAAGAAAGCACATATACATGCCCGTCTGAAGTTTGCCAATGAACATCTGAATGATTCAGAGGGGAACTGGGTGAAAGTGTTGTGGTCAGAAGAGACCAAAATCGAGCTCTTTGGCTAAGGGGACAGGACAACTTCACCGCATCAAAGGGACGATGGACGGGGCCATGTACCGTCAAATCTTGGGTGAGAACTTCCTTCCCTCAGCCAGGGCATTGAAAATGGGTCGTGGATGGGTATTCCAGCATGACAATGACCCCAAACATACGGCCAAGGCAACAAAGGAGTGGCTCAAGAAGAAGCACATTAAGGTCCTGGAGTGGCCTAGCCAGTCTCCAGACCTTAATCCCATAGAAAATCTGTGGAGGGAGCTGAAGATTCGAGTTGCCAAACGTCAGGCTCGAAACCTTAATTACTTTTTATTGTATTTATTTTTTATTTTTTCACCTTTATTTAACCAGGTAAGCCAGTTGAGAACAAGTTCTCATTTACAAATGCGACCTGGCCAAGATAAAGCAAAGCAGTGCAATATAAACAACAACACAGAGTTACATGACTTGGAGAAGATCTGCAAAGAGGAGTGGGACAAAATCCCTCCTGAGATGTGTGCAAACCTTGTGGCCAACTACAAGAAACGTCTGACCTCTGTGATTGCCAAAAAGGGTTTTACCACTAAGTAATAAGTCATGTTTTGCAGAGGGGTCAAATACTTATTTCCCTCATTAAAATGCAAATCAATTTATAACTTTGTTGACATGCGTATTTCCAGATTTTTTTGTTGTTATTCTGTCTCTCACTGTTCAAATAAACCTACCATTAAAATTATAGACTGATCATGTCTTTGTCAGTGGGAAAACGTACAAAACCAGCAGGGGATCAAATACTTTTTTCCCTCACTGTATATATAATGTGTATATACAGTCGTGGTCAAAGGTTTTGAGAATGACACAAGTATTGGTCTTCATAAAGTTTGCTGCTTCAGTGTTATGAGATATTTTTGTCAGATGTTACTATGGTATACTGAAGTATAATTACAAGCATTTTATAAGTGTCAAAGGATTTTATTGACAATTACATTAAGTTTATGCAAAGAGTCAATATTTGCAGTGTTGACCCTTTCTTTTTCAAGACCTCTGCAATCCGCCCTGACATGCTGTCAATTAACATCTGGGCCACATCCTGAATGATGGCAGCCCATTCTTGCATAATCAATGCTTGAAGTTTGTCAGAAGTTGTGGGTTTTTGTTTGTCCACCCGCCTCTTGAGGATCGACCACAAGTTCTCAATGGGATTAAGGTCTGGGGAGTTTCCTGGCCATGGACCCAAAATGTCGATGTTTTGTTCCCAGAGCCACTTAGTTATCACTTTTGCCTTATGGCAAGGTGCTCCATTATGCTGGAAAAGGCATTGGTCGTCACCAAACTGTTCTTGGATGGTTGGGAGAAGTTGCTCTCGGAGGACGTGTTGGTACCATTCTTTATTCATGGCTGTGTTCTTAGGCAAAACTATGAGTGAGTCCACTCCCTTGGCTGAGAAGCAACCCCACACATGAATGGTCTCAGGATGCTTTACTGTTGGCATGACACAGGACTGATGGTAGCGCTCACCTTGTCTTCTCCGGATTCATCAGAGAAAATTACTTTACCCCAGTCCTCAGCAGTCCAATCCCTGTACCTTTTGCAGAATATCAGTCTGTCCCTGATGTTTTTCCTGGAGAGAAGTGGCTTCTTTGCTGCCCTTCTTGGCACCAGGCCATCCTCCAAAAGTCTTCGCCTCACTGTGCATGCAGATGCACTCACACCTGCCTGCTGCCATTCCTGAGCAATCTCTGCACTGGTGGTGCCCCGATCCCGCAGCTGAATCAACTTTAGGAGACGGTCCTGGCGCTTGCTGGACTTTCTTGGGCGCCCTGACGCCTTCTTCACAACAATTGAACCGCTCTCCTTGAAGTTCTTGATGATCTAAAAAATTGTTGATTTAGGTGCAATCTTACTAGCAGCAATATCCTTGCCTGTGAAGCCCTTTTTGTGCAAAGCAAAGATGACGGCACGTGTTTCCTTGCAGGTAACCATGGTTAACAGAGGAAGAACAATGATTTCAAGCACCCCCCTCCTTTTAAAGCTTCCAGTCTGTTATTCTAACTCAATCAGCATGACAGAGTGATCTCCAGCCTTGTCCTCGTCAACACTCTCACCTGTGTTAACGAGAGAATCACTGACATGATGGCAGCTGGTCCTTTTGTGGCAGGGATGAAATGCAGTGGAAATATTTTTTGGGGGATTAAGTTCATTTTCATGGCAAAGAGGGACTTTGCAATTAATTGCAATTCATCTGATCACTCTTCATGACATTCTGGAGTATATGCAAATTGCCATCATCAAAACTGAGGCAGCAGACTTTGTGAAAATTAGTATTTGTGTCATTCTCAAAACGTTTCACCACGACTGTACACTACCGTTCAAAAGTTTGGGGTCACTTAGATTTTTTTTCTTCCATTTTTAAAATAACATCAAATTGATCAGAAATACAGTGTAGACATTGTTAATGTTGTAAATGGCTATTGTAGCTGGAAACGGCTGATTTTTTTATGGAATATCTACATAGGCGTACAGAGGCCCATTATCAGCAACCATCAGTCCTGTGTTCCAATTGCATGTTGTGTTTGCTAATCCAACTTTATCATTTTAAAAGGCTAATTGATCATTAGAAAACCCTTTTGCAATTATGTTAGCACAGCTGAAAACTGTTGTGCTGATTAAAGAAGCAATAAAACTGGCCTTCTTGAGACTAGTTGAGTATCTGGAGCATCAGCAATTGTGGGTTCGATTACAGAATCAAAATTGCCAGAAACAAATAACTTTCTTCTGAAACTCGTCAGTCTATTCTTGTTCTGAGAAATGAAGGCTATTCCATGCGAGAAATTGCCAAGAAACTGAAGATCTCGTACAACGCTGTGTAGTACTCCCTTCACAGAACAGCGCAAACTGGCTCTAACCAGAATCGAAAGAGGAGTGGGAGGCCCCAGTGCACAACTGAGCAAGAGGACAAATACATTAGTGTCTAGTTTGAGAAACAGGCGCCTCACAGGTCCTCAACTGGCAGCTTCATTAAATAGTACCCACAAAACACCAGTCTCAACGTCAACAGTGAAGAGGCAACTCCGGGATGCTGACCTTCTAGGCAGAGTTGCAAAGAAAAATACATATCTCAGACTGGCATATAAAAATAAAAGATTAAGATGGGCAGTCTGAGATATGGCTGTTTCTTTGCAACTCTGCCTAGAAGGTCAGCATCCCGGAGCCACAGGGACAACTCCTGTCCCTTCTTCTGCCCTACTGTATTCCTCCTCTGACTTATTTCACTTTCTGAGCAAAATGTCATAGGAAATGGAGAGTCTGGTTTTGTTTGTGCAGGGGGTTTGTGTACTGTCGGAATGAGGAGTTGGAGCCGGGCTGGGTGGTGTTCAGTAGTGGCCGCCTTCTCCACCGCCCAGCCTCCTTTGATTTCAAGCCCCATCAGCTGTGCCAGGTCATCGACCTCTTCACCCTTCAGGTACGCCAGCTGGCATCTAGCAACAGGCTTCATGACATGACTCAATTACACAGTGGGTGATCTAATACTGTATCTCCACTAAAATACTGACTGTGCTCTTTCTACCCGTCTCAGGTGTGCCAGATCGTGCCAATGCCAGCCCACCACTTCCCTGTGGGCAGCAGCGTGACAACGCTTCACCTGTGTTCAGATGGAACCTACCTGTACTGGGTGTGGTCTCCCGCCAGCCTTAACGAGAAGACCCAGAAAGGCCACTCCGTCTTCATGGATGTCTTTCAGCTGTCGGTGAGTGAGCATGCTTCCCCTAGCCTCTCAACAATGCTCAGCAAAGCTCTTCTCTCGTTCCCATCTCTCACCCCTCTCTCCCTCCTCCCCCCGTTGCAGACGGAGACAGGGTTGTGTGTGGCAGACGTCCTTCAGGAGAGGGTGATCCTAACACGGAAGGAGGGCGAGTCTTCCAAGTGTCTGAACGAGCTGCTGCTGAGCCGCATGTCGCGCTTCCGCGCCTCCCACTCCGCCACGCTGGCCGCTCTCACCGGCTCTGCCATCTCCAACACTGTCAAGGAGGAGCAGTCCGGTAATACACACACTCAGTACTCATAATACGCTCACACTATTTAGATAAATATTGTTTCACACTCAGTTAAATGTGTAATAACCAGGCAGTGAAAATTATGATTGAATCCATTATCCTCATCACATTGCACATTCTGCGATTCACACTTCACGTCCGTAGGCCTGTATATTTATGTTGTGTGTTGAAGCAGGTCTTTGCTCCTCTTCCATAGCAGTGAACACTAGCTGTGGCCTCCCTCTGAAGACCCTGAGGAAGACGCCCATGTATGTGTGTGGGACCTCTCTGGTGATGCTGGCGTCTCCGCCCGGCGTGTCTGGCAGCTCTACCACACGCTCCCTGTTTGGAGGCACCAGCGGCCTGTCCTCCCTGAAGAGTAAGATCAGACATTTTCATCTTCACTGGGAATCTCTGTTGTGTTTTAAGCAAGTCTCTTTTCTCTCTACTGTCAGTGGTATATTTGTTGACTGCTTTCCTCTCTTTCTCTGACCAGTCCTCTCCTCCAGTCTGGTGTTTAACCTAGCTGATGGTCAGTTCAGCAGCCGGGCAGACCTCATTGATGCCCCTGGCAGTTCTCTGGGCAGGGGTGCCCAGGTGTCAGGGTTAGGTAAGCTCCTGTTCAGGAATTATTTTTTTCAGTGTGAACTGAAATGTATAGATAAGTGCAGCACTTATTTGTGTTGTAACCCCTGCACCATTTCCTATGTGCTTGTAGGAGCCTGCTATGACGCCCTCAACAACTTGATCTGGACCTGCTCCAGTGACTACATGGACCAGTGGTGTAACCCTGGCAACCAGGCCTTCCATCACGTGTGCCATAGGCTTGGCGTCAGCCATGTCATCAAAGAACCCAAAGGTAACCAAAACAGCCCTACTCCTGTTTACCAATCAACGTTGACCTCAAGTGATGTGCTGCAGAATCATAGGCTAAATAGTGTCTGAATCAGCTTCTCCATTCATGTCAGATCAGGCAGTTAATAGTTACTACCCTCCCTTCCTCTCTCCCTGCTGCAGAGGAGACTGTGGCCACCGGTGAGGTGATCAACCAGCTGCTTCACCATGTGGGCGCCATGTGCATCCACCAGCTCAACCTGCTGGCAGCCAGCAGCAGCCTGCCCCTGGGCACCCTCCTGGGCAAGCAGCACCCTATCGATGCTCGCCACTTCAGCAGCATCTGTGACATCATGGAGAAAGCCATGGTCAATGGGGACACCTGCATCATCCACTGCATCCTGGTGGTGTTCCAGGTACGGTGGAGCTGGAGATCCAGCCTGCTACTGTGATGCTACCTGTAGCCCAACTGACGTCTAAATCACTCATATTTACACATTGGTGTTTGTTGTTCAGGTGGTGTTCAGGTTCTTCAACCCTCAGTCGGCGAAGAACAGGGAGAGCGTGCAGCGTTCAGGTCTGCTCCTGTGGCAGCTGCTCATGGCGCCTGTGGATCAGATCGGAGCAGAGATCCAGGCAGAAGTGTGCCTGGCTATCAGGTAAACACAACTCAGTACAGCACAAAGCCATAACCGTAAACACAGGACACACATAAAGACATGAACTTTGAGACAACTATCAGTCCCTTGATTGACATCTACGGTCTCGTCTCTGTCTATCTCTCCCTCTCTGTAGCTCGGGTTTGAATACCTTGTATCAGGGGGAGTCTGAACTTAACAACCTGCTGAAGCTGGTCCTGACAGAAGGTGATAGTTGCAACCTACTCATTGGGTTTTATGCACACTCTTAACACATACTAATAATTTTCGTATAGTGCTTGTATCTGGTACAATGGAGTTGCTGAATGTGGTCTGTGTGTATGCATCTGTGTGATCTTTAGGGGAGAGGAACAGTGGTCTGTCTCAGCTCCGTGATGTCATCCTCACCAACCTGGCTGACCAGCTGCAGAAAAATCGCTTTGGGAGTGACGAAGATGACCTCTACAGGTAGAGCACAGCTATTGCAGAGATTTGCTCAACACTTTGCAATTTCTTGTATTCCTGCTAGAAAAATAACTCCCAATTCCTCCCCTAACCAGAGCTAAAGGGTTTCACTGAGTAACCTGATGCCATAAAATGTTCTATCCCATTAATAATAATGCAATATGACACTGTCTCTCTGTATAAGAGGGTTGTTCAGCTGAATCATTCTGAACATCTCTCTCCTGTGTTTCCCCTTCAGACTCGGTGATGAACTCCTGCACTGTATCCTGAAGACCGTTGTCCGTGAATCCTGCTGCCTTATCACCAAATGTCAGACTGTCGCTAGGGACGACTTCCAGAAGCTTCTCTCCACTGTGCCAGTATGTGTCTCTGTCGCTGCTCAACTACACCAAGGATCAACTGGGCTTTGTCTGGTCAGACCGTCTGTTGTCTAATCAACAGTAGATTGTGTGTTAGCTCTTGTATACTGACTTGTAGTCCCCTTCCCTCCTTCCCCTCTACCAGGTGGCCTCATCAAGCCTGCGCTACCTCATGGCTGTTCAGAACCACCTGCTTAGCAACACCATTCTAATCCGCCCCGACGACAACGACGACAGTGACAACTCCCTACAAGGGGAAACAATGAAGGTACAGGTAAACACCCCCTTTAAATACCCCTACTGCTGTCTGTCCATGTGGAGTCAATATGTCCACCCCTCTCTTCTCTTCCTTTCTCTCGCTCTCCCTCTCTCTGAGCGAGGAAATGTTAAATCATGACACAGCATAGCCACCCCATTTAGCATATTCAACAGTAAGTCCTTTTTGCTCAGATAGTGCTTTTATCTATGGGTGTTTGTTTTCTTACCCACAGGCACATAGTAGAGCTGCGAGTGTACATTTTGTTAGAGTATATGTGGTTGTTTTTCCTGTTGGAAGCAAGTAGGCACTGTTACGGAAGCGTTGCCTTTTCTGTGTGTGGTTTCCAGGAGCTGCAGACCAGCATCCTGTCGCTGGCCACCAAGATCCTGGTGGGGTGTGATGAGGTGCTGGAGACCATGCAGCAGGTGACTACCGCCCTCATCAACAGTGACATCACCGACCGAGAGACCAGGTGACCATCTCCCCCCACCTCTCTGCTTTACCTGTTACCCGTCTACCTGTTACCTATCTACCTGTCATTTTACCCGTTGTCTGCCTACCCCTAGCCCTCAACCTGTTGCCTGTGTAGTTCCATGTTTCCTTTGTTTGCATTTCCCTTTCTATCTGCCTCTTCTTCTACATACCTCTCATCCCACTTTTCTCTCTCATCCTCTTTCCTCCTCTTCCTCTCTCCTCCTCCCCCTCTCTCCTCTTCGTCTCTCCTCCTGGGCCGCAGGCTGAAGGGCTTGGAGCAGATTACCAAGGCTACAATGCTGGGGCACCTGCTGCCGGTTCTGCTCACCTCTCTGATGCACCCCAACCTGCAGACACTCGCACTCGCCGACGCCCTCATGCCCCAACTAGTGCAGCTAGTCCTCTACACCAGCCAGGTGGGGGCGCTCAAACAAACAGTGACCAGTCTCACCTCAATGCAGATATTTCTTATCTGGTTTAGAACTTGTGGCTGTCATCTCTAGTTTCTGTGTTGGAATATGGGTAGACATATGGTGATTGTTAAATGAAGGTTGATGATAATTGGGAAGGAGAATAAGTATACACTACCGGTCAAAGTTTTAGAACACCTACTCATTCAAGGGTTTTTCTTTATTTTTACTATTTTCTACATTGTAGAATAATTGTGAAGACAACAAAACTATGAAATAACACATATGGAATCGTGTAGTAACCAAAAAAGTGTTAAACAAATATATTTTATATTTGAGATTCTTCAAATAGCCACCATGTGCCTTGATGACAGCTTTGCACACTTGCACACCAGCTTCACCTGGAATGCTTTTCCAACAGTCTTGAAGGAGTTCCCACATATGTTGAGCACATGTTGGCTGCTTTTCTTTCACTCTGCGGTCCGTCTCATCCCAAACCATCTCAATGTACCTTCTTGGTAAAATAGCCCTTACACAGCCTGGAGGTGTGTTGGGTCATTGTCCTGTTGAAAAACAAATGATAGTCCCACTAAACCCAAACCAGATGGGATGGCGTATCGCTGCAGAATGCTGTGGTAGCCATACTGGTTAAGTGTGCCTTGAATTCTAAATAAATCACAGACAGTGTCACCAGCAAAGCACCCCCACACAATAACACCTCCTCCTCCATGCTTTACTGAGGGAAATATACATGCGGAGATCATCCGTTCACCCACACTGCGTCTCACAAAGACACAGCGGTTGGAACCAAAATTCTCCAATTTGGACTCTAGACCAAAGGACACATTTCCACCGGTCTAATGTCCATTACTCGTGTTTCTTGGCCCAAGCAAGTCTCTTTTTCTTATTGGTGTCCTTTAGTAGTGGTTTCTTTGCAGCAATTCGACAATGAAGGCCTGATTCACACGGTCTCCTCTGAACAGTTGATGTTGAGATGTGTCTGTTAATTGAACTCTGTGAAGCATTTATTTGGCCTGCAATTTCTGAGGCTGGTAACTCTAATGAACTTATCCTCTGCAGTGGAGGTAACTCTGGGTCTTCCATTCCTGTGGCGGTCCTCATGAGAGCCAGTTTCATCATAGCGCTTGATGGTTTTTGCGACTGCACTTGAAGAAACTGTCAAAGTTCTTAAAATGTTCAGTATTGACTGACCTTCATGTCTTAAAGTAATGATGGACTGTCGTTTCTCTTTGCTTATTTGAGCTGTTCTTGCCATAATATGGACTTGGTCTTTTACCAAATAGGGCTATCTTCTGTATACCCCCCAACCTTGTCACAATACAACTGATTGGCTCAAACGCATTAAGAAGGAAAGAAATTCCACAAATTAACTTTTAAGAAGGCACACCTGTTAATTGAAATGCATTCCAGATGACTACCTCATGAAGCTGGTTGAGAGAATGCCAAGAGTGTGCAAAGCTGTCATCAAGGCAAAGGGTGGCTATTTGAAGAATCTCAAATATAAAATATATGTTGATATGTTTAACACTTTTCTGGTTACTATTTGATTCTATATGTGTTATTTCATAGTTTTGATGTCTTCACTATTATTCTACAATGTAGAAAATAGTAAAAATAAAGAAAAACCCTTGAATGAGTAGGTGTTCTAAAACTTTTGTAGTGTATATTTATATGGGTTTCTCCTGGTCATTTCCCAGACTGCTCTGCTGCTGAAGACCCAGTCTCCTCTCTTCACTGACAGCACTCCACTGGTAGGAGGGCCGCTGGGCCAAAAGACGCCTGCTGCTGCTGCTGATGACAGGTAAGTGCACTCACTTTCCTCTTTGTTGGCCAAGTTTATCAGGACCAGAAGCCTTGTTTTCCAAGTGTGTTTGTGTATCTCTGTCCCTGACGACTGTTCCTCTGTCCCCGATGACTCTTCCTCTGTCCCCGATGACGGTCTGTCCTACTTCAGCTTTAGAATCCTAGATGAGCGGGAGGAGCCAGGCTTCCTAACAGGCCTGAAGATCCCTGCCCCATGGGCTGCTGGGAAGACGGTGGAGACGGTCCACCCGGTGCGAGACAACTATAAGTTCAAAGAGACGGTACACATTCCAGGAGCACGCTGCCTCTACCTGCGCTTCGACTCCCGCTGCTCCTCACAGTACGACTACGACAAGGTGACCAATCCCTGCACCTCTACACCCCACATCACATTTCCTTGTTAAAGCTATGGCATAACATAGTATTAACTCTTTCTTGAACTGTATTGTTGGTTAAGGGCTTGTAAGTAAGCATTTCACGGTAAGGTCTACACCTGTTGTATTCGGCACATGTGACAAATAAAATTGGATTTGATTTTGTATTGCAAAGCTCTATGAGGAAGAGTATTTTCTTGATATTTTCTCTGCTGTGTTCCAGTTGGTGATGTATGCCGGGCCCAACACAAACAGTCGCAAGGTGACTGAGTATGGAGGCAACACTCTGGGTTATGGCAGTCGCAGTGTCCTGGGGACAGGTTGGCCCAAAGACCTGGTCAAGGTGGAGGGGGACACAGTGACGTTCTCCTTTGAGATGAGGAGTGGGCGCGAGCACAACACCCCAGACAAAGCCATGTGGGGGTTCTCCTGCACTGTCCGAGCCCAGGTACACACAGCTGTGGAGTTGGATCACTGACACAATGTTGTAAATACAGCATGAGTTCTGGCATGTTGCTGTCATGTTGGACATACACACCCAGACGTTGTTATATTGTTACATTGAACAGTTTCTGTTTTCCCACTCCAGGAGTCATCAGAGGATGTCTCTGGGGGTCTCCCCTTCCTGGCAGACCTGGCGTTGGGTCTGTCTGTACTAGCCTGCTCCATGCTCCGCATCCTTTACAACGGACCTGAAGTAACACGAGAGGAGGACGCCTGCCATGACCTACTCTGCTCCAAGCTGCTCCAAAGGTGACACAGCATAAATGGAGAATGATACAGAGCACACACTATAGATGGCACAAATACACTGCAATGTAGCAGTACAGTCATATAGGGCTATAATCAACGTAATAAGAGTAAAATAACACAGGTGACACAGCAGAGACTAACTGCTTTGTATTTCCTTCAGGTGCCAATGGCAGGTGGAGGCTAATGGTGCCCTCTCTCCAGCCCTCACCCCCAGCCCCTCGCCCTTACCCCTCACCATTGAGGAGGACCAGGAGTTCACCTACCCTTCTAACGTCCTCATCCCTCCACCGGGCCTCATGCCTGGGGCCTACTTTGACCTGCCCCGTATCCGCCTGCCTCCAGGAATCATGGGCCGGCTACGAGAGGTGTCCGGCAGGGCGCGGCCACAGTTCCGTCCCAGCATCAAGTAAGAAGGGGTGACGATATATGTGGTCCTCTGTAGCTCAGCTGGTAGAGCATGTCGCTTGTAACGCCAGGGTAGTGGGTTCGATCCCCGGGACCACCCATACGTAAAAATGTATGCACACATGACTGTAAGTCGCTTTGGATAAAAGCGTCTGCTAAATGGCATATTATATTATTATTATATATACGACAGGCTTGCACAACTGCCATCCTAATTCCATTTTAACCAATCATTACTGTTGATCCTTTTCTCCCCCTTTCTCTCTGACTTGCCTGTCAGGGAGGTCATCAGGCCAGACGTTATGGAGGAAGTCATAGTGTCGTGTGTGATAAAGCACCTGACACTGGTGGATGCTCTCCAGTCACTCGTCAACTTCCAGTACCGTGAGGAGCACGCTGAGGAGTATGACCTGCTCTGTAAGATCATGGCCGAGACCTTCAAGAAGATCAACTCCATGGAGCGCCAGCTGCAGGTACACAGGTGGCACAAGTCGGCTTTTCCCTCTCCAAGTCTGTGTATGCGTGTATAACTTGGTCTGTTGCCCCCCCCCCCCCCCCCCAGAGTGTAGCAGAGCTGGAACAGAAGTGGCAGAACGAGGTGGAGGAAGCTCAGCAGGGAAAGCTGGAGAACAATGCTCCTTTCTTCCATGACTACCACTTCTTTGAGGTACACATCCCTCTACTGCTAATTCTCCACAGAGTCTCTTAAAATTGTACACTGTTCAGCTCACATAATTCGTTTTTGTTTCCCCAGAACAAAATGAAGGAACTAGAATTGCTGTGTTCACTAAAGGAGGTCCCACTGGACTGCAGTGATTTGGAAAACGTTGTCCTCACACTGAGGTAAGACATTGGAGAAGAGCGAATTGATAATACAGATGTCTGCTGAGGTAACATCTACACTGCTTAGTTGATACATTTTCCTTCGTGTTGTCTTCTGGTTTGTGATCTGAATTTGTCCACAGGGAGAAGTTCTTCCAGGAGGTGAACTCCATCCACTTGAAAGGTGCTGTGCCGCTGGCCAAAACCAAAGCCCTGGTGAAGAGCCTAATGAACCGCACAGAGCTGCTGCTCCACGTCACCATCGCTCCTCACTGCAGGAGCCTGACCACCACGCCTTCTGGCACACCAGGTACAACTCAGCTTACACCTTCCTACATTACATCTCCCCAGCCTACTACACAACCCCAGCCTGCACCTCCCCAGCCTACTACACTTCCCTAGCTTACACCTGCTCCTCTATAGCCCTCCCCTGATTTACCTTGACTGCCTGCATGTAGTATGATGAAATAGAGGTAACCGATACTATTTTTGTTGTTGTTGTTGCAGCCTGTAAGTCTGTGTCAGACACTAAGACGGTGGTCCCCGGGGTGAAGCAGCCAGTCTTCCTGCGCAGCGTGTCTGCACCCTCCGACCTGGAGATGATTGCCAACCAGGACCTGGAGTTCACACACAGCAGCCAAAGGTTCATTGTACACTGACATTTTTGATGATACAGAGAAAGTGGATTACAAGCGTAACTACACTAAGTTGATGATGAATGGAGAGAGTACTCACCTCTCCAGTTTGTTGTCCTCCCCTACTGTAGGAGGCGACACCACCCCACCAGTCACCGCAGCAGCTCCTTCACACTGCTGCAGTCTCTAGCCATGGAGGACAGCCGGGACAAGCCAACGTACAGTGTGCTGCTGGGACAGCTCTTTGCCTTCATAGGGACCACGCCCAACCAGTCTGTAAGTCCAGCCCTCTTCCACAAAGTCACTGCACATACACACTGGAATTGTTTTTGGTGCAAAATGATTAGAGAAGATGAGTCTACCCATATTTTACCCTAATTCTGCCTCCTCCAGGTGTCCAGCAGCAGTTTCCTATCTGCAGCTCAGACACGGTGGAGGCGGGGCAGCACGAGGAAGCAGGCCTTGGTTCACATGAGGGAGCTGCTCACCGCTGCAGTCAGGGTGGGCGGGGTCACTCACCTGGTGGGCCCTGTTACCATGGTGCTGCAGGGAGGGCCAAGGTAAGGGATGGACACAGACACACTCACACACAAACCTACCATGAATATAACATTCTGAAAGAAAATTCTGTTTTATAAATGTATGTGTATCTGTGTGTGTCCTCTGCAGGATCGAAGAGCTGACATGTGGGGGAATGGTGGAGCAGGTGCAGGAGGCCTTTGGGGAGACCATGACGTCTGTAGTGTCACTATGTGCCCGCTACCCCATTGCTTGTGCTAACAGTATCGGCATGCTCTGCACCATCCCCTATACCAGGCAAGACAATTATTCTCTATCTTCTGAAATCCTCATGTTACTCTTGGAAAACTGCTTTGTAACTGCTTTTGTAACAAACAACTCACCTCATTCTCTTGGCACCCAAAAATGCCTGACTTCCAAGAATTGCCATCCTATAAACCCCCACCCGTCTGGCCCTGTGTTCCTGTAGGAGTGAGGAGCAGTGCCTGGTGCGCAGTGGTCTGGTCCAGCTGATGGACCGCCTGTGCAGCCTGAGTGGCCAGAGGGACTGCAGCTCCAATGAGAAGCAGACCAAGAAGCAGAAGGTGGCCACCATGGCCTGGGCTGCCTTCCAGGTGCTTGCCAACCGCTGCATCGAGTGGGAGAAGGTGGAAGGTATGCAATATTGTTTTTTTTGGGAGGGTAGGAACTTATCACCATGTGAAGCAGGTAGCTCACTCTAAAAAATTAAGAGATCTTCCTGCGCTCAAGCAGAACATACTGTATAAGTACATTTTAGTCAGATGTTTCCAATGTCTTGATACTGCACTGAGCCTTTAGCTAAAGAGGAAAGTTTGAAAGACTGTCTTAATGTCTTCAGGGTCTACTACCAAAGTGAGGACAAGATGCAGAAGAATAGTTGCAGGTAAAAGTTAGGCAAGCTTGGCAAAAGTTGAGTTAGGCGAATAATTCAGAAACCAGAGGAAAGATGGGTAGACTTAAAATAGCTTATGTTCAAAAACATAAGTATGACTTCATCTTTGAGGATCTTTGCATATAGATAATCAGACTTTAAGATGCAACCTCACATCAGTGTTTTTCTACAGTAACAATCAGTGTGTGGTGATTCTAGCTACTACAGAAATCCCTCTACCCCTCTCTAAAGGTGGTTCAACAGATGCGGTGCATTCAGGTCTGGCCCGGCAGGTGTCCAGCCTGCTGACCAACCACCTGGCCAGAGCCACAGAGTGCTGTGGTAACCAGGCAGCAGGGAACGACGCCCTGCAGGATGTCCTCAGCCTGCTCAACGACCTGTCCAGGTAAACACCACCAGACAACAGGACAACACCTTAAACAAACTCCGATCAACATGAGGGCTCGATGTTATTTTGTGTACTGTGTTTTAGAAATTACTGTTAGGGTGTTGTCTTCTAATTCTTCCTGATTGTCTGTTGCTTCTCCAGGAGCCACATAGGGAAGGCCATCCTGAGCCAGCCAGCCTGTGTGTCCAAACTCCTGTCCCTGCTGCTGGACCAGCGGCCGTCTCCCAAGCTGGTGCTGATCATCCTGCAGCTGTGCCGTGCTGCCCTGCCCCTGATGAGTGTGGAGGACTGTGGTAACGTGGCACTACCCTCCTGGAGCTACTCCATCAACACCCTGGATGCTGAGCAGCAGGACGCCACCGACCCCGCCTCGCGCATCGCTGCCCTGCTGCTGGCCAAGCTGGCTGACTACGTAGTACCAGGTAGGACCCTTTGGTCTCGACATGTTGGTCAGGAGATCTCTGGTCTCAGTGCTCTTTCTAACACCATGTCCCTCACCAGGCTGCCAGACCCTGCTGTCCCCCAGCTCCTCAGAGCCAGACACCAGCCTGAGCCGCTCCAGCCCCAAGGGAACCCTGAAGTCTGATAAGGACGCTGGGGAGGAGAGCGAGGCTGTGGATGGCAAATTGTCCATCTTTATCCACAAGAGGGAGGACCAGTCCTCTCATGAGGTGCTCCAGCCACTGCTCAGGTAAGACTCATCATAATATCTCCTGACACCTTTTGTGTGCCAAACCATCCATGCAGTTTCCCTGACATTTTCTTTCTGGTGGCCAGCAGCAGTTCAGAGGGCCGGCCATTCCGCCTTGGAACTGGAGCCAACATGGAGAAGGTGGTGAAGATGGACAGAGACATGACCAAGGTAAGGCCTGTTTAATGTGGCTGCATATGTCATTTGGGTGTGACTAAGTGAAAGAATAGTGAAGAATTAAAACTTGTGAAGGCATGTTCATTAATCATACCATTATTCCTGGCTGATCTGCTCCTTCTCTCTCTGTCCTTCTTCACCCCACCAGAGTGGGAGCTGTGAGGTAATCACCGAGGAGGCTGCAGCCGCCCTGAGGAAGGCCAATAAGTGGTCCCAGTCTGGGCTGATAGTGAGCGTGGGCCCGCCTGTGGAGGCTCTGGCCCAGGAGGCCGCTGGAGGAGTCACCACGGGGGACAAGAAGAAGACCGCTCAGACCGCTGTGTGTCGGGACAGGAACTCTGAACTGGCCAGGTCAGTCTGACACTCGAGCTGTGCAAACGTTAGATTATGCATTTTTCATAACAGTAATACTAGTGGAATTACAAACGGTCACAAAACTGCTCCACTAGTAGAACATAAGAAAACTGTCACAAAACTGCTCCACTAGTAGAACATAAGAAAACTGTCACAAAACTGCTTTCCTCTGAAGGGCTTAATTTATTATTACCCCACCAGATATTACAGGTGCAAGGACAATATTTCATTAGAATTGTTTTCTTTCAAGGAGAATCCAAACCCGTTATCAGAACTTGACTGTAATGTCATCTTCACTGAAGACTATGATGATATCCACTTAACATAAATACAAAAAGCATCCTATGAGGGGTTGACCGCTGATGATCAACTACTAATGGCAATGAACTCTTTCCAAACGGGCAAATCTCCTGGCTTTGATGGTATACCAATGGACGTGTACAGGGTATTTTTTACAGAAATCAAAGAACCTTTGCTCGCCTGGTTTTTCATTCGAACAGGGTGAACTAACAACAACCCAATGACAGTGCCTGATTACATTACTATTGGAGCAGGAGGCAAATGGCCAAAAAAAAACTGGAGACCGCTCACTTTATTGTGCTGTGACACCCGTATTCTATCAAAATGTTTAGCACTTAGAATAGTGCAACTCAATAGTAGGAAGGTGTTCCTAATGTTTGGTATACTCAGTGCATTCAGAAAGTATTCAGACCGCTTTACTTTTTCCACATTTTGTTACGTTACAGCCTTATTCTAAAATTGATTAAATTGTTTTTTTCCCTCATCAATCTACACACAATACCCCATAATGACAAAGCAAAAACAGGTTTTCAGACCCTTTACTCAGTACTTTGTTGAAGAACCTTTGGCAACATTTACAGCCTCGAGTATTCTTGGGTATGACGCTACAAGCTTGGCACACCTGTATTTGGGGAGTTTCTCCCATTCTTCTCTGCAGATCCTCTCAAGCTCTTTCAGGTTGGATGGGGAGCGTCACTGCACAGCTATTTTCAGGTCTCTCCTGAGATGTTAGATAGGGTTCAATTCTGGGCTCTGGCTGAGCCACTCAAGGACATTCAGAGACTTGTCCCGAAGCCCCTCCTGCGTTGTCTTGGCTGTGTGCTTAGGGTCGTTGTCCTGTTGGAAGGTGAACCTTTGCCCCAGTCTGAGGTCCTGAGCGCTCTGGAGCAGGTTTTCATCAAGGATCTCTCAGTACTTTGTTCTGTTAATCTTTCCCTCGATCCTGACTAGTCTTCCAGTCCCTGCCCCTGAAAAACATCCCCACAGCATGATGCTTCCACCACCGTTCTTCACCGTAGGGATGGTGCCAGGTTTCCTCCAGATGTGATGCTTGGCATTCAGGCCAAAGAGTTCAATATTGGTTTCTTCAGACCAGAGGATCTTGTTTCTCATGGTCTGAGAGTCCTTTAGGTCTGAGAGTCCTTTTACTGAGGAGTGGCTTCCGTCTGACCACTTTACCATAAAGGCCTGATTGGTGGCGTGCTGCAGAGATGGTTGTCCTTCTGGAAGTTTCTCCCATCTCCACAGAGGAACTCTGGAGCTCTGTCAGAGTGACCATCGGGTTCTTGGTCACCTCCCTGACCAAGGCCCTTCTCCCCCGATTGCTCAGTTTGGCCGGGTGGCCAGCTCTAGGAAGAGTCTTGGTGGTTCCAAACTTCTTCCATTTAAGAATGATGGAGGCCACGGTGTTCTTGGGGACCTTCAATGCTGCAGAAATGTTTTGGTACCCTTCCCCAGATCTGTGTCAATCCAGTCTCGGAGCTCTACAGACAATTCCTTCGACCTCATGGCTTATGCTCTGACATGCACTGTCAACTGTGGGACTTTATAAAGACAGGTGTGTGCCTTTCCAAATCATGTCCAATCAATATAATTTACCACAAGTGGACTCCAATCAAGTTGTAGAAACATCTCAAGGATGATCAATGGAAACAGGATGCACCTGAGCTCAATTTTGAGACTCATAGCAAAGGGTCTGAATACTTATGTAAATAAGGTATTTCTGTTTTGTTTCTAAAAACCTGCTTCCGCTTTGTCATTATGGGGTATTGTGTGAAGATTGATTTAATCCATTTTAGAATAAGGCTCTAACGTAACAAAATGTGGAAAAAGGGAAGGGGTCTGAATACTTTTCGAACGCGCTGCATGTACAAATCATAATTAAAATCAGTTACTGGCAGCAATACCAACAGAATGGAAGATAAAGTTCAGGGAAAGAAAAGAGAAACTGTTTGTAGACATATTAAATCTCACAGATGGTTAACTACAGATAAAATTCATAAAGACGTATAATTTTGATACTCCTATCCCTAGGAAACAGGCTTTTGGTTTGATTTATAAAACATAATTAGACTCCACTATCCGAATGTTTCAGTTGAAGTTGATTTTGTTACACATCTTCTGGTATTGACCCATAGTTGCTCACTTTTGTGCAAAAGTACAAGAGTGGTTACTCCCTGTTTTACATGTTTTTGTGACATCTTCATAAACAGTTATATTGGGTGACTTAAGGGACAGATGCAACACGATATACAATCTCTTGATTCAGCTGGGGAAGTTTTTCATTTTTAAAACGTATTGGATTCTTTAAAAATAACTGTCAAACACTATTATACACTAGAAGGATTGATTGCAAAAGAAAGTGGGAGGTCGTGGGGCCTGATTTTATTTCATAGACAAAGGAAAGGTGCTCCTTGATCGCCAGTCGTATGGCAATTCCAGTTGTTGGTTCATTTGTTTGTTTAGTTGTATTTATTGTGATATTGTTTTTTGTATGTAATTCATGTTTATGTTCTTTGTAGTTTGTTAGGGTAATTGCTTGTTTGTCCACTTGTGTGTGTCCACCACACCGAGGTAGTGGGCTGAAGAGGGTGAGGTGTTCTGGGGGAGATTTGAAGGGTACTACAAAAAAGCCTAGGAAAGAAATACCCCCCCAAAAATGTCAAAGTATTTTTTATAATAAAGAAACCTTTTAATAATAAAACATAGTTTAGTCCCCCAAATGTGTGGAGGTGGGGAAAAAATTTAATAAATCAATACTATCGGAATTGAATCTGCTGTACTAGTTTTAGTTAACCACTGGGGGGAGTGGTTCTGACCAGTCTCCTCTCTCTCCCTCCACTGTTCAGGTCTGACCCAATCAGGCCCTTCATCAGTGGCCATGTGGCCAACAGTATGGCTGCTGAGGTTATTGCCCTGCTGCACAGCCTGCTCACAGCACCCGAATCCAACACCGCCCAGATCTGGACCAGCACTGCAGAGAAGGTAAAGCACCATGCCAGTTCCATGTCATTCTAAGAATATACTGTATATTAAGGTCATAGTTATAACACATGGACTTAACGCTGCTGATGACTGTGCCAGGTGCTGTCTAGAGCGCTGATGTTCATCCCTCAGCTGGGGAAGTATGCTGAGAGCATCCTGGAGAACGGAAGCAGTAGCAGCAGGAAGCTGGCTAAACTCCAGGCCATTGGCAGGCAGGCTGTGGCGGCACTCTGCGCCCTCGGAGGCTTTAAGGAGACCATCAAGATCGGCTCAGAGGTCCAGGTGGGTTAGGAGAATAAATTGATAGATCCATTAGAAGACTTAGCAATATAAGTTGTTGTACCTGTCTCTGGTGAAATTCACATGCTGGCTACCAACAACACTAAACCAGGCCAACAGTGCTGTGGGCAGAAAGACCTATAGCAGTGAATGGTCTGTCAGTGAATGTTTCTCTTCATGGTCCATCTGCTCCCCCAGGTGGTGGGGAAAGGAGTGCTGGGCAGCGTGGGCCTGGTCATGTCCATCAACGAGCAGGAGGGCCTGGCCACGGTTAAGTTCCCTTCCTGCGAGTACAGGAAGGCCTGCAAGTCCTCCGACATCCTGACGGTGCCCATCTCCCGCCTCTGCACTCCCCGCTCTGAGGTAAGGACGGCAGGTTAGAGAAGTCACATGCGACTAATGCACGCGACTAACGCATGTAACTCGACTGGAAATGATGCAAGTGCACAAAAGGCTTTAATGTATGATGGTAGACTCATTTAATGTGCTCTTCTCATCCCTGTCCCTCTCCCCTTCCCCTCTCTCTCCCAGGCGCTGCCCCTCTACAAGCTGTCCATCACAGAGAAGGTGGTGCAGGCGGTACATTCCATGCTCCTGCCACAGGAGGGCAGTCTGTCCATCCACACATCCCTCCCCGCCTCAGGAGATGGCTCTAGTCCTGTCATGGCCGCTGTCCGACTGCTGGCTGAAATCAGGACCAGGTAAATCACTAATGAGGACATTACCTCAGTCAAGAAGTTTTGCTGCTCCGCCAAGTGTCTCTCTGCACCTGTACGTCATATATTTGTTTTGCTTAGGTTTAAATGTGTGTTTTGTGTTTGGCTCCCAGGGCATGTCTGGTGATGGCCCAGCTCCTGGAGGACAGCTCATTCTGTGAAGAGTTCATCCAGCAGTGTCCTGCTGCTGTGGAGGTGCTTAACCTAGTGGCCCAGGAGTGCAGTCCTGGTGAGTGACCGCCCACTCTCACCCAGTAGCATAGTGCTCAATGATGACACACAACTTCTGCAATGCAGCCTGACTGTACTTTTACCGGCCATATTTTCCTATATGACCATAGTATTGATTCTGCTGTGTTGTGCAGGGGAGCGTCTGGGCATGGTCGAGGCACAGTGTGAGCGAGTGAGGATGCTGTACCGAGACTGCGCTCGACCGCCACCCCCTCCCCTCCAGACAGACAAGTGCCAGGTGGGTGTCACTGAAGCCTCTCTACTCATTGATCTACTGAGGTCTACTGATCTAATAACTGACATAAAACCATACTAGGAATTTTTGAGGGATGAAGGGATTCAGTTTGAGGGGCTTCCTTATGCTCTCTGCTCCGCTCCATACCTCTCCCTAGCCCAAGGAGATTACATGGAGTCCATCCAGAGTGTTCCCTCCGGTGCGTGCCTGCATGTTCTCATCCCGCCTCACCTCCGTCACCTTCCTGGCCGACCCCAGTGCTGGAGGAGGCCTGCCCAGGGGAACCTTCATCTATGCCACCTCACCTGTACCTGTTCAGGTGGGCACCCCTGCATTTACTGGATGTCTTGGGAATGGCACATGCTAGGTTTTATATGAATGATAATTCAGTTTTGCATGGTTATGAAGCAGGCTGACTAATTCATCTTCCTCTCCCTCTTTTTCCTGTAGGCTCCTTCCTTTTACTGGGAAATAGAGATTGTCTCCTATGGAGACTCGGAAGACGACAGCGGCCCTATTGCGTCTTTTGGCTTTGCCACAGAGGCGGAGAAGAGAGACGGAGCATGGACCAACCCTGTTGGCACCTGCCTCTTTCACAAGTATGTGCTCCTATTTGACATATGTAATCTCTGTGAGGTTTCCCACTGCCCTGTCTATGACTGAGTGCTGACCTTTCTCTCCTTTCTTTTTCATCCTCCCCCTCTGTCTCTGTGTTTCTCCCCTTCAGTAATGGTAGGGCGGTACACTATAATGGCTCCAGTCTGCTGCAGTGGAAGAGTGTGAGGCTGGACGTGGCCCTACTTCCTGGTGAGATGGGAAACAATCCTCTCATCTAGTTTCATAATATCACCTACCTCCTATTTTTCCATCATTCATTTGACTTTTTTGCTTATGGAACCAATGTGTATCGCATATTTATCACATTTTGGTGAAACATCTGATTTTGAACAACATGTACTGTATCTTGGATGGTGACCATTCTCTTCCTGCTTACAGGGGATGTGGCGGGCATTGGCTGGGAGCGCTCCGAGGGCACACCTCCACCCCCTGGCCAGGCCCCTAAAGGGCGGGTCTACTTCACCTACTGTGGCCAGCGCCTCAGCCCCTTCCTGGAGGACGTAGCAGGGGGCATGTGGCCTCTGGTGCACATTCAGAAGAAGGTGGGTCTTTATGCCTGGACATGTAAAACAAGATAAAAAGTTAAACTAAATAAAGCCTAATTGATTCAGCTGCTGTGTGTCATCATGGTGTGTTTTGCATTTTGTTTAGAACACAAAGATTCGTGCCAACTTTGGTTGCCGGGCATTTGCGTACGCAGAGGGCCAAGCACACCGCAATGCTGCAGACTTCTGTGTCGACCTGGCAGAGGAAATCAGTGCTAACTTCGAGGCCCTCCCCTTCGCCATGGCATCCGACAGCGACAATGATGCGGGTGCTAGTGTGGCATCTGACTCTGGGTCCCACGGACCCCCCTGTCGGATCGCTGCGGTAGCAGTTGCCCAGCAACGTATGTTCCTATCACCTTCCCCCTTCCCCTTGCACGAAATGCATGTGTCTCAGTTAAAACCTTTGATTTGGTTTGGTGTGCCATTGTCTGATTGCATGATGTTCTGGACAGTGGTCCCATCTGGTCACTTAACATAAAGTATATTGTTTTACTTAAAGGCCCAGTGCTGTCAAAAACATGATTTTCCTGTGTTTTATATATATTACCACACTATGAGGTTGGAATAATACTGTAAAATTGTGTAAATGATGATAATGCCCTTTTAGTGTAAGAGATGTTTGAAAATGAATTTGACTGTTTTGGTGGGATGGAGATTTGGCTCTCCTGGTGACATCACCAATAAGAACGTTTCCCCTCCTCACACAGACCACTCCCAGACAGTCCTAGCTAAATTATTCCTTGAGAAATTGCTTGATTGCTAAGAAGCAATTTCTGTCTCTTTTTTAAAATGTTAATTGAAAACAATCACAGTAAGGTACTTACAAATGTTTCCCAGAAATTATTTGATATTGAAATAGCTGCATTGGACCTTTAACCTGGTGTGATTTCAGTCCTCTGTCATGTTTGCTGTTTGGTCAACCCCACCTTGCCCCCACAGTGCTAACCCTCACCCTCCTCACTGTCTGGTCTGTGTATAAGTGTCTCCTAGTTGGTAGCGTTTGTAAGAACTGCTTTGTTGTTTGTCCTCCCCTGTCGGGACAGAGTACAACAGTGACTCGTCGTGCCTCTACAAGGTAGAGCTGAGCTACGAGAACCTGGTCACCTCAGGGCCTGAAGCACACCCCCCGCTTATCGCTGACGATGAAAGTGATGACGAAGATGATGACGATGTCCACAGGGTGAGTTGAAGATCTTGCTTATGGTTCTGAGAAGAGCCTTCAAATAACACATTAACTTTTTGGTATCCTGTTTTTTCCACTGTTGGCATGAATGTACTGTTTCCCCCCACCCAGGAGGACCACTATGCCCTGCTGGTGAAGGCCTGGGAGACCAAGGTGTTCCCCACCATCCGCCGACGCTTCCGCAACGAGGCAGAGAGGAAGTCTGGTCTGGACCAGATCAAGGGAGCACTGCAGCTGGGTGAGGAATTATGTCTCTCGTTTCTGCTTCTCTGCTCTTTTAGCAGCTTGAGACACTCACTCGCTGAAAACCAGGTGGTAAAAGAGGTGATCAACCCTGTAGCTCTGTTTGACCTTTTTGAGAGGGATGTTTTTTGACGTTTGTTCTTTGTGGTGTTTTTATTGCTTGAAATGTTGTGCAGGCATGGTTGACATAGCCCGGCAGACAGTGGAGTTCCTGTATGAAGAGAACGGGGGTATCCCCAGGGACCTCTACCTCCCCACCATCGAGGACATCAAGGATGAGGCCAACAAGTTCACCATCGACAAAGTCCGCAAAGGTACCCTGCACTTGCACTCACCACCATGCCAGAGGCCTCGGTTATTGAACCGTTTGTTTTCATCATCTTTGACCCTCACTGTAAACACATTAGTAAACACAGGAGCACTATTTTATTTTTAGCATTTTTTGTAATATAGATGTCTAAACATTATCATTATGAACACTGATAGGCTGTAGTGTTACCTGGCTTTGCCCTTACGTATACCGTATGTTTCCTCTTCTCAGGTTTGACCGTGGTCATCCGCTGTCCAGACAGCAACAACACCAACAGCACCACAGGCGGAACAGCCCTGCCCAAGTTCGCCATCCGAGGCATGTTGAAAACCTTCGGCCTGCACGGAGTGGTTCTGGACGTGGACTCTGTGAGTGTGGAACACTTAACTTCAGTTGTCATAGAAACAAAGCGATAAGAAGTTAAGCTTTGTCTCTTGATAGTGTGTCAATGGTTTCTCTCACTCATGACTTACTGTGTGTGTCCAGGTGAATGAGCTGGTTCAGGTAGAGACGTACCTGCGCAGTGAGGGGGTGCTGGTGAGGTACTGGTATCCCATTGAGATGCTGGAGCGTCCCCCTGTTGGATCCCGCCGTACTGCTGCCAATGGCCTTGTCAATCTAGACAGCAGTAACATCCAGATCCATAGGTAACTGACACACACACACACACAGTGAAATAACACACTGCTATGAACTGTAAATCATCCCCTGTGGCCTGCTGTGTTTCAGAGAGCTACTGCGCTGTGAGAGTGCCCTGGCTAGGCTTTACTGCCGCATGGCCCTACTCAACATCTTTGCCCCCAAGAGCCCCCACACCTTCACCCGCCTCCTCCACATCCCAGCCATTAGAGACATCACTCTGGAACACCTACAGCTGCTGTCCAATCAGCTGCTGGCTCCGCCTCTGCCTGGTGAGTGGACCCTCTCTGGATGAGATGATGATCCACGGAAAGTAATGGGTTAAATAGAATAAAGTTAGAAAATGGAATGGAATGGACTGAATTAACACATGGATATTTAGGTGTACAATTGACTGAATGGAGTGATTTGGAGTCTGCCTTTCCCCTAGCCTCTAACAATCCGAGTGTGAACTGCACAAGCATCCATTATCGTCTCTAACATTTAGATTCCAAAATTCCAAACAGTCCCTTTACAAGTCAGAATGTTGAATAAACTTCATTTGAACTTACTCTACCTATTGTCCACCGATTTTGTCCTGCTGCCGGTGGAAATTTATGACAAAATATCCACAGGAAAATATTATTAAACCGACTTCAAAACGCAGGTCTCTGTGTGTGGCTATCATGATTTGTTTGCTCATCACCTAAGGCACGTGACATTCTGGTTTGTAAGAAATCTTTCAAAATGTTTGCAGTGCTTTATTTCGGACTGTGTTACCAGAGCTGGGATCACAGACTGATTTATTAGGCAACCTTTCCTTGATTTATGTGCTGAGTGTTCTCTGTTTGTCCTGCAGATGGCACCATCAGCTCCAGCTCCATCCTGCTGGCCCAGTCTCTACTCCACAACCTGCAGGGCCAGAGCTGCTCTCCCACAGACCTGTTTTACCAGGGCAATGCACAGCCCATCCGGGAGTGGCTCACCGTGGCCATCACCCGTGCCCTGCACCAGGGGGAGGAGAGCCTGCTGGAGCTCACCAAGCAGATCTGCTGCTTCCTACAGGTCGGCACAGGGTTAACTAATGACCGGAATCTGGCTGAATGTATATTTCTCCAGGGACGGAGATCTTTTTGTTTTAACATGGTTAATCTTTATTTCCCTTGTTCCGTTATGTAGAATGCACCAGAGCAGTTCACCTCAGAGGACTTCCCGGTATCAGAGTCAAAGGTCAGCATGGATGTCAACTTCCCGGGTGCTGCCTTCGTGATCGTCTCCTGCAAAGAGAGCCAACTAGGCTACCGCAAAGAGTGAGGAATTCAACACTATTACCTTTATCTAAGTTAAAACCATGACCCTTGACGACCCTAGATGTCTTACAGTGCCCCCATTTTCTGCCTCTCTCTCTTTCCCTCTCCTCTCCGCTAGCTCCTCCCTGTACAAAGCCCCATGGGCACGGGTTATGGTTTATGGCCTTGGTCACAAGGTGCGCAGGAATGGCCAGCTCAACCTGATGGAGGCGGTGTGCTACCCTCTGGACGCCTCACCCTCCAACACAGGCCTCACCCCCCCTCCCACCACCAATCAGTACCCCACTGTCATCATCCCGAACGACAAAGTCCACATCAAACTGGGTGAGTGCTTGATCAACCTAGTCCATACATACAGTAATAGCTTTTTTCAGCATATATATGTTAATTATATTTCTCTCTGTTTCACATGATTAACATGTATTTATAATAGCTTGGTTTGTTTCACTGTCTCTCTCTCAGGGGTGTCGCCCCCTCCTGGTGCGGTCCTGGTGCTGCACTCCCTGCCACTGGAGTTCCCCCTGGCCATGGCGTTTGCTGAGCAGCTGCTGACGTGGAAGCTAGGGGAGAATAGTGAGCACTCTGAGGAGGAGCTGGACACTGTGCCCTCGTCTGTGCTGCTACAGGTGGTGGAGCTGCTGGGTATGTGCTACACTTTCATCAAATCTGTTTTCTTTGAAATGTCTGCATCCATGGCGATCCATGAGGTGTCCAACATGTCTGAACCTTTTCCATAACCTTCGGTCACTCGCTGTATGTGACTAATATTGCATCCTGTTTTGTGCTGACAACAAGTTGGTCACTATTTTCTGAGTGTTTCTGTTCCCTCTCTCTTCCTGTCTGTGGTGTTCTAGGTGGGCTGTTATGGACCACAGATCTGGCCCCCTGCATCAAGGAACTCTCCTTCCACCTGCTGGCTGAGCTCTTCCGTAAGATCCACCACCTGGAGCAGCGGAAAAGCCCTGCAGGCCTGTCCAGCTCCATCGCCCTGCTGCTCAACCCCTGCCTGGCCGTGCTCATGGCCCTGCAGACGGAGCTCCGCAAGCTGTATGACCGGGAGACCCAGAACTGGGTGGCTGCAGGGGCCGGAGCAGGGGGCTCCTCTGGCGGCAGTGCCCTGGCCATGGGGGCTGAGCAGAGCAGATTCTCCACCTACTTCCATGCCCTGATGGAGGTGTGCCTGGCTGTAGCTGAGGTCACCATCCCCCTCAACATGGGGTGCTCAGGAGTGGGAGCCCTGTCCTCCACCAGTGCCCCTAACCTCAGCGACTCCTCCTCATCCTCCTCCTCCTCCCCAGGCCAGACCCCCCAGAGCCCCAGCCTGCTCTCCAAGCGTAAGAAGGTGAAGATGAAGAGGGAGCGTGCGGCAGCAGCAGTGGCGGCGGTGGCCTCAGGGAAGAGGGGTTCTGCTGGAGGGGCTCGTCTGTCAGAGAGCGACAGCGCTCTGCTCAACATGGCCGGTAGTAAACCTGAGGACATGCTGTGGTTCCACCGTGGCCTCACCCTGCTCATGATCCTGCGTCACCTGGCCAACAAGGATTCCCAGGGGCTGAGTGTGACAAGTGATGCTGTGATGGACGCCTGCCAGGCCCTGGTGGGACCTACCGCTCACAGCCGCCTGCTGGTGCTCTCTGGCATCCCCACCCACCTGGAGGAGGCTGTGGTGCGCAGCGCCATCCGCAGGGCTTGCAACGCCCACGGAGGGCTCTTCAAGGATGAGATCTTCATCCCCCTGCAGGAGGAGGAACCTAAGAAGCCCAAGGCAGGAGCCGGAGTGTCCACCCCCATGGATGGCAAAGCAGCCCCCGAGACTGGGCTCCCCTTCCCCAGCAATTGGGGCAATGAGAGCCCAGACAGCTCCAGCAGCGTGACTCCAGCCATGAGTGTCTCGGCCTCGGCCTCCACCAGCCAGACCTCCATCTGCAGCTCCTCTCAGGGGGGCGTGTCCCGCACTGCCAGTGAATCTGTGGACCAGGAGCTGCTGGCTGCCCCACCTCTCACCCCCGTGGCTGCAGCCTCGACCTTCCCCTCCCCACAGCAAGGGCCCCTGGATCCCCACACGGTGTCTAGCCAGGAGAGCCTGGATATCTCCCTGTGCAGCACGGGGAGCCTGGGCAGCCTGGGGGAGCCCCCGGACAGCGCAGAAACAGCTTCTGTGTCAGACGGGGGCTCCATATACACCGTCACCTCTCTGGACAGCAACGCTATCTTGGCCCGGCCCATCAAGGGCTATGCTGTCATAGAGGTGAGTCGCAAGTGCATTTTACAATGAAAACTTGAAATTCTGCTATTGTTTGTTTATTTATTTATTTGCTTTGATTGAGATAGACTTACATGTCCTTCATCTGTTTTGCACATCCTGAATGTAGGTTCGCGCCCGAGCCAAAGTGGAGAAGATCCGCGCTAGCCTCTTCAACAGCAGCGACTTGATTGGCTTATCCAGCCTGGAGGGTGAGGAGGAGCTGATGGAGCTGACCAATGAGGAGATCCTCACAGCCTCCAGTGTCAACCAAAGCCTGTTCGACACACAGGGTAGCTCCGCCCTTGAGGACTACTTCCTGAACAAGTCTCTCAGAGGTAAGTAGTTTACTCCAACTATGGCTCAATCATCTGTACTCTACCAATACAGTAAAAGTCCTACATAATGGAGGGGTCTTAATCTTTTCTCCTCCTATGTTCCCAGGGGACAAGTTGGTTCCAAGTGCGCGAGACGTGCTGATGGACATCTTCAAGAGTTGTGTCCACTCAGAGCAGATGCTGAGCCTCACACCAGCCAAGCCTGTCAAAGTGTCGGACATCTACCTGAGCAAGGAGCAGATCACCTCCCAGACCACTGGAAACCTCCTCCACGTCTTCTTCACTAATGTACGGCCGCCCAAGAAGGTGCTGGAGGACCAACTGACGCAGGTTGATACACTACCCCCCCCCCCCCCCCCCCCATGAGAGTGCTTGAACACACAACTTGAAAAATAGATATATGCTTAATTGACCCTGCCTCGTCCACATGATTTTACACACACATACTCATCTATTTGCATCTGCAACCAAGTTTGTCTGAGCATTGTTATATGTTTCACAGATTCTGCGTAAATATGGCACCCCCAAGCCCAACAAGAACAAATACAGTAAGGCAGGTAAGGAACAGCACGCAGGCAAGGTGGTGAGCACCAAGAGACCCATCACCAAACCACCCCCCAAGGAGAAGTCTGTGCTGAACAGGTCAGTTTTGTCCCTCACCACACACACAATGCCACCCTGAACACCATTTTCCTAAATAGTTTCCACCCACACCTGTAATTACGGAAAGTAGTGGGTTTCAAAATTACAATCCCCCCTAAGATCCTTCTCTTAGTGCTTCCCACGCTCAAATGTGTTACTAAAATAGCAAGTCTTTGAAATTAATTTCTCATGTTTAGAAACACAAAAATAGCAATAGAAACTGTACCCTATGGATTATTTATCCACTTACAGAAGGAAAATGGAGAGTAATGTTGCTTGTTATGCTTAATCGTAAAATCTAGACTCGTTCAGTATGCTGTCATGTCATCTATGATATTCGTCAGTACTCATTTGGACCGACATTTTCCATTGACACCTGTCCCTGACCTTTTTCCATGTCTCTATCAGAACTGCACTGAGTGAGAAGAAGACTGTACTGAAGCCCAAGTCCCCTGAGAAATCCAGGCCTGATGAGAAAGACACAGAGAAATCTCCTGCCAAGAAGCCTGAAGGTACTGACCACTCTGTACCCTCTCATGTTACCCGTCTGTCTAGCCAACATCTCTCTGGAGCTGAGTAAGAGTTCCCCCCAGTTAGAATGTAGATGACTAGATGGAAGCTGAGAGCATAAAGTCCATGCATCTGTCTGTCTGTGCATGTGCATATATTTATATACACTACCGTTCAAAAGTTTGGGGTCACTTAGAAATGTCCTTGTTTTCGAAAGAAAAGCAATTTTTCTGTGCATTAAAATAACATCAAATAACATCCTCACATGGAATAGCCTTCATTTCTCAGAACAAGAATAGACTGACGAGTTTCAGAAGAAAGTTATTTGTTTCTGGCCATTTTGAGCCTGTAATCGAACCCACAATTGCTGATGCTCCAGATACTCAACTAGTCTCAAAAAGACCAGTTTTATTGCTTCTTTAATCAGCACTACCGTTTTCAGCTGTGCTAACATAATTGCAAAAGGGTTTTCTAATGATCAATTAGCCTTTTAAAATGATAAACTTGGATTAGCAAACACAACGTGCCATTGGAACACAGGACTGATGGTTGCTGATAATGGGCCTCTGTATGCCTATGTAGATATTCCATTAAAAATCAGCCGTTTCCAGCTACAATAGCCATTTACAACATTAATCTACACTGTATTTCTGATCAATTTGATGTTATTTTAATGGACCAAAAAATTGCTTTTCATTCGAAAACAAGGACATTTCTAAGTGACCCCAAACTTTTGAACGGTAGTGTATGTCTTATCTCCTCCCTCACCCGTCTCTCATGTAGTCCCAGAGGAGAAGTACTTGACTCTGGAGGGCTTCCATAAATTTGCTGTGGACCGGGCCAAGCAGGACATCCGTAGCGTGTGGAGGGCCATTCTGGCCTGCGGTTACGACCTTCACTTTGAAAGGTGAGCCTGGCGACCCGCCCCCCTCCAGCCCCTGCAGTCAGCCTTTGGTTGGTAGGTCACATTCCTAGCAGAGTGTGGAATGGAACACACATGACTGGAGCAGGTTGTAAACATTTAGAGCATGGAACACACTGTGATTGTTACGTCAACACACATGATGTACTAGAAATGTCATGCTTAATCATCTGAATCACACACTATACTGCACTGTACAGTACATGTAATCTCTGTAATTCGAGAAAGCCAGTTGGTGCCAGATTAAGTCATATTATATACAGATGTAGGATCTTGATTTGAGCCAGTTTGCAACAGGAAATGTGGATTATAATTAATTTACATTTTTGTAAGGGCTGATACATTTTTTCGTAAGGGAAAATCAAGTCTGACATTTTTAAAGTGGAAATGACAAACTTTAGAAGCCTTTTAAACATCAAATACACTACATGTTTGCATTTCCTGAGGTGCAGGAACATTCTCAGCAACAATGGTGATCAAATGAAGATCCTACATCTGTATGAAGAGGATCTGTTCATATGTAGTGGTTAACCATTCTGTTGTCCCCCCTTTCCTCTGCTTTGCAGATGTACCTGTATAGACACGCGGCACGCCCAGAAGGCCTGTAGGAGATGGAGTCTGGAGATGGATGTAGCGTTGGTGCAGTACATCAACAGGCTGTGTGGTCATCTGGCCATCACACCTGCCAGGCTGCACCCCCATGAGGCCTACCTGGAGCCTAACGACATCGCTGACCCGCGCGTGGCCTGTCTTCTCAGTATGTGACCTACTCACTGACATACCGCATCATCAGTTTACATACACAATCTATTTTTACACGTGTTTGTGTGGTATTGGACGTCAGTAATCTTGAGTGTAAGCGCATGTTAGTGAGTGAGTGGGTGGGTATGTGTATTTGCGTATGTGTGTTGCTGTGTTCACATTTCCCCTGTGTGTGTGTAGATGTGCCTGTGGAGAGCCTGCGTCTGCGCTTTGCTCTACTGCAGTCTCTCAACAACACCCTGGAGAGTTTCTTCCTGCCACTGGTGGAGTTGAGACAAACACACACCTACCAGAACAGCATCGCAGCGCTGCTCTGTGGGGCCAAAGGTGACACACACACAAAAATAACATCTCAGCACAGCTCTATCAGGTCAAAGGCACACAGCAACAATGTGCTGTATGGGTCATTAAGGAGTGGTGTTGTATCAGGGAATTGACCGGTTGTTAAATCTTTTAATACATTTTACTGCCTCTTAGGCTGTAGTTGGGGCATATGAACTGGATTAAAGCAGAGTCTTGCTGACCTTCTACCAATTTTACATCCACCCTTTCTCTATGCAGGCCTGGTGTTCTATGATAACAAAGTGATAGTGATGAACCAGGTGTTGAACGCCACAGTACAGCGGACTGCAGACCACGCTGCCCCCGAGATCACACTGGACCCCCTGGAGATTGTAGGAGGTGAGCTCACAGGACACGCCCAAAGCCCTGTTTTATGTTCATTCACATTATGCCTTTTACTTTGAGTGTTGATGGTGTGTTCCTCCAGGAGAGATCCGTTCCTCAGAGAACACCTACTTCTGCCAGGCGGCACGCCAGCTGGCCTGTGTGCCCTCGTCCCAGCTGTGTGTGAAGCTGGCCAGCGGAGGAGACCCCACCTATGCCTTCAACATCCGCTTCACTGGAGAGGAGGTCCATGGCACCAGTTAGTATCAGCCTTCTTCTCCCACATTTGTCCTCTAGGAATAAACTCTGATGTTTGATCAGACTGAATCTTAGTTGTCCCCTGACCTCTGTGACTCCCCCAGGCGGCTCCTTCCGTCACTTCCTGTGGCAGGTGTGTAAGGAACTCCAGAGCTCCGCCCTCTCCCTGCTGCTACCCTGCCCCAGTGCAGCAGCCAACCGCAACAAGGTACAGTGACCCTCCCATCTGCCTTCACAGTATGCCCTGGTCGCAGCACCATTTTAACACCAGGAACGAAAATTATGATGCCTCAATAGTTTGTGTACATATGTATTAATCCTGCTCCACACGGTATATACTAGGAGTATAAACCGTGTCTAGATTGCAAACCAGTTGGGCACTGCATGGGCAGTGATCACTGCATTACTGATAGGCTAGAAGAGTTTCTAACTTGATTGTGGTGCTTATGTGCTGTTTTGTTCCAAAGGGGAAGTATATTCTGACGCCCTGTCCGATCAGCTATGCGGAGGAGCAGCTGCTGCACTTCTTTGGCCAGCTGTTGGGCATCGCCATCCGGGCAGACGTGCCCCTGCCCCTGGACCTGCTGGGCTCTTTCTGGAAGGGCCTGGTGGGCGAGCCTCTGGACCCAGAGCAGGACCTGCAGGAGGCCGACCTGCTCACATACAACTACGTCAAGAAGTTTGAGAGTGTAAGAGACAGTCATTTAGACATTCATATGGATCCAGTTTCAGGAGAAGTTGGGGATATTGAAAGTAAAAGGACTGTAAGTTGAGCTTCTGCTAAATTACTGTAATGTAATGACTCCTCTTTCTGGAAAAAGGAAGGGAGATTTTGAAAACTCCGAAAACTGGTGATAAGGTTTGCAGGTTTTCCATGGTTCTGCAAATAGCTAGCTGGTTGACCTTTCTACTGTGAACGCCAGTACAGTCACAACTGACTTCTGCTTTCTACAGTTCAAACCCAGACTGTAGTTTTGCCATACCACTTCCCACCCTTGTTCCCAAGCCCAGTGTTCCATTGACCTCTACCTGACCTTTGGCCTCTGCACCCCAGGTGAGCGACGAGGACGATCTGGAGGCCCTGTGTGCAGAGATCTCATCCCAGCACCACTCAGGAGAGAGCCCTGACTCCCCCAGCCGGCCCTGCTGCACCTTCACCTACATCACTATGACCGGAGAGGAGGTAGACCTGTGCCAGGGGGGACACAACCTCGGTGTCAGGTACAGGGACATTCTGCCTCTATGGCCCGGGGACGTGTTTAGTTCATATGGGTCTCTGTTGATGTTCTCTATACGATTCCCTTTAGCCGTCAGTTTTTCTCCAAATAATTCTGTACTTTCAGTACAGTACTTTCTGACTTTCACAGAATGTGTTATCTCTGTTTAATCCCTCGACACTGTCTGTCCTGTATGTGTGTGTGTCTGTGTAGCTGGCAGAATAAGGATGTGTATGCGCAAGCAGTCCGGGGTCTGCGTCTGCGGGAGCTGCAGAATGTGGAGTGTATGACAGCGGTGAGAGCGGGCCTGGGCTCCATCATTCCTTTACAGCTCCTCACCATGCTCAGCCCCCTGGAGGTGGAGCTACGAACCTGTGGCCTGCCGTACATCAACCTGGAGTTCCTCAAGGTAGCTATCCTAACGTAGCAAGCGTAAAAATGCCTTAGCGGAGTCCCCACATCCGTTTTTCAGGGGAAACGGAAGTTAAGTTGAAAATACTATATCCCTGAAAACCGGAAACATCCGCTTTCTTCCGACCCTGCAGAGAGTGCAAGGTAGCTAACGCATATACGCCACCCACCCTGCCACCTCACACCTACTGTACACATCCCCTTCTGAAACCCTAGGACACTCACACCTTCAATCATCACTCCACCATCCTCATCCACCACTAAGAAGTAAGAGTTACGGTATAGAGTAATGAGAAGATTATATTTTTGGTGGGCAGTAATAGTGAATGTCTTTGCCTAGAAGAGTCCCATAATTGTCCCTGTTTTGCATGAACCCCTGTTACCTCTCCCTCGGTAGGCCCACACCATGTATCAGGTGGGTCTGATGGAGACAGACCAGCACATTGAGTTCTTCTGGACGGCCCTGGAGGTGTTCACTCAGGAGGAGCTCTGCAAGTTCATCAAGTTTGCCTGCAACCAGGAGCGCATCCCGTTCACCTGCCCCTGCAAGGACGGGGGCCCGGACACTGCCCACGTACCCCCCTACCCCATGAAGATCGCCCCTCCGGACGGGGCAGCAGGTAAGTGCCAGGAAAAGTTCTAGTGGTTTGTGTCATAGAAGGAGAGTGTAGTGGGACATCAGACACAGGAGTCAAAGCCACGCGGGTTGCTATCTGCTTGATGTCCTCTTTGTGCTGTTGGTGCACAAACTCTTGGAAGGATTGTGTTTATCATCCTTATTAGCGCACACTGTCTTAAAAACTTGGGCAGACTTTGAAAAATGTATTTGCTATTTTTACCCTTCCTGGATTTATTATGTCTGTAAATTAGTAGGGGATGTTCTATGGGGAGAAGATGCAGCGCTGTTATCTTAAAACAAATGACCTCAGACCGTATGTGTATTAGGTTTACTGTATAGCCTTGATGTAAGGGAACTGTTTATCGGCTTGTTGTTTATCAAGCTCCAAAGAAGAGTTAGAGCAGACCAAAGTGTCAGAACTGCTCAAAGGACTTTTTACCCCACGTTTTGGATTTTTGACCAATAAAAAAACGTAACTAATGTCAGACTCTAACCACAGCAGTATGAACAGTAAATCTAGATTGAGTACAGTAGCTTCCATAGATTAGAGATTAGTGTCCCTAAACAAGACAGCCTGCTTCTGTTCCAGGCAATAACAATCAGACAATGAGCCATTATTGACATGGAGAACATGGAATTGATGGAAAATAACTTTCTAGACTGCACATAATACTCTCAGCAGAACAGAATTTGAACATGGTAGAAGTGCAGTGACTCTTTCTGCAGATGTTTAATGTTTGAAAGTTTTATATTATACATGTAACATTTCCACATGCAATTAGTGCCAAATGCCAATGACATACTAGTAGTAGCAAAGGGATAGAAACACCAGTAAAACATACCCACGTTTTTACCGTGACTAGCTGATCCAGCTGTTGTGTGGACAACTTCACGAGTTCACAAAAGCAAAAACATAAGCCATACTAAACTTCTTCACATCCTTGCAATGGATGTTTTTTAAATGATGATAAGGTAAGAAGCCAGTGTCCTTAAAAAAAACTCAAATGTAAATATTACATGTTGCTCATTTAATGTTTTAAGATGCTTTTTCTTCATACAGTATGTTTACCTATTTGTGTGTTTGCCAGGTTCGCCAGACTCCCGCTACATCCGGGTGGAGACCTGTATGTTTATGGTGAAGCTTCCCCAGTACAGCTCCCTGGATGTGATGCTGGAGAAGCTGCGCTACGCCATCCACTACCGTGAGGACCCTCTCAGCGGCTAAAGGGACCTGATGGATGGAGTACACCACCTCCATATGATGCAGCTTCAACACCAACCCTACTATTTATTACCCATACAGCCCCACCCTCTCAACCCCTCCCCTGCCCAACTTTACCTCCGCCCTCTCCTGGACCTTCAGCTAGGACTACCCACACAGCAGAAGGCCAACCTGCTTCACCAAGAAGACACTGAAGTTTTTCTTTTTTCTGCTTGTTTTATGTTTGGCTTTGTGCCAGCGCTTAATTTCAATAACATTCTAATCAGGTTGAGCATTTCAGGAGTGTGTTTTGACAATTTTTTTCAGAGCTGATGTAGGGGTGTTCAGCCCCACTTGCCTTGACACTGACGTTGGTATCTCTTCTGTTTTGAGGTGACTGATCACTACACACATAGTGGGAGGGAACTGTGACAGGGCACATACCATTTTTGATTATAGGGAAAGTTACTCTCTCTTCCACCTTATTTCCCCTCACTTTTCTTTATTCTCCCCATCCTCCCCATCCCTCTTTCAGAAGACTTGGTGTGGTCTTTTAAGCCTAGTCCCTACTGCTTCCTCCCACCCTTCCAGAGGGTACTCTGTCAAAGGCATGCCTTTACCACAAGAAGGGGAGGGAGGCTCTGTGTGAAAAGGAAACCCCAAATATTCCTCTGGAATCAAGGCTTGAGTATTGTTTGATGTTTGAGATAGAAGTCCACTAAATATCTAAAAGGAACTCTATGATTTCTTACCAGGTCAAAACGTTGACAAGTGCTCTGTAAAGATGCACTGCTAAAAGACTAAACTAACTGTCTGCCTATATATACAGTAAGTCTATAAAGAGGGTATGTATATAAGTCATGTAAAAAGTCATATTAATCTATTACGTGAGGTTGCAGTTTTGAGTTTTGAAACTATGCTAGTAGCTGTAGCAGCAGGGTAAGTCAGGTACACTGAAGCTGGACTAACAGACTAAAGCTCTACCTGGTTGTCAGGTCTGGCCTTCTGGGTTGCCAGGTCGGCTATACTTGCATTTCAGGTTGCGAAACTTGTGTTGCTTCGTGAAATGGGAGGGAGATGTTGTTCTCCCGAACTGCCCTCCCACACTGCTTGTGTACTACTGAATGTGCGCCGAATCCCCTCGCCCAACACACACAATCAACTCACCAGGGGGTCGGATTCACTTTAGTTTAGCCTTTTTATATATTTCCTGTGACGAATGACCAGGGTTTCTGCTGTTTTTTTGTTTTGTTTTATTTGACCCATAACCAAAATGTTTTAGTAAAAACTTCACAGAAGAAAACATGTAAATAGACTTCTACGTTATATTTGATGGCAGTTTTTTCTAAATTGCTGCTTCACTTCACCAATTATTTTTTTGTTTTGTTCTGCGCTGTTCTTCCAGGGAAAAAATATTATTATAAAAATGAGCTAGCTAGGATATTCTTTATTGGATATCCAGTTTGTTGGGGTTTTATTTTTTACCAATTTTGAAATGACTAGTTATATATCACCTTAATGTCTTGGAACTCAGATGGATTCTACCACTCATTCTCTTCTGCTCGATGGTGAAACATGTTTTCTTGTGTGACTTAAACAGACATTTGACTTGGATGGGACTTGAAGAACACAATGAGAGCTACCACAAAATATTTAAGATGGATGTTTGGATTGCTTGCCAAATTAGTTTTGGTTTTGTTCTTTTAAAGGGTAAATCGCTGCTAACAAGGACACTCTCTTTCTGTTCTTACCTCTTGGCGGATTAGAATAGACCATTCAAAAGGGACAGATCCATACAAAGGGGTGTTGCGATAAGAAAATGTGTGCTGTACATTTACTTGATATTTATTACAATTATTTATGTTTGCATTAACTTAACTTTTTACTGTCTTACCTCTGCACATCAGAAACATAACACAGATCTCTAAAATTGATTATAGAGGGGTAAAGAATAAAATGGCGTTTGAGATTTCTGTGTCACAATAAAACATTTGTTGATGTATGTTGTGTTGATTTATTTCTCTTGTCAGTGTCAGGAGACACACTCAGGAAAAACACATGGTGGGCGCCCAAGGAGGCTAAGAGAAAGGATTAAGTCACATCAATATTTGATATATTAACGTTTTTTTCTATTTGAGTGTTTTTTCCCCAGCCACATTCACTGGCATTTAATCATAGCGTAAATCCACTTAATTTGCCAGTCTTTGATTAGGTGTGTGTTTGGCATATGCTATTCTAGCAGATAAAATGTTGACGATTTTCTTCACACATCATTGCAGCGGCACGATCGGACGAATGCGGCATCGGGCAAGTCCAAAGGGGGAAGATTAAGGAGTTTGTGGAGTTTACCACGAGTCATCAATAAGAGCATAGACCTCGTCCCCACAGTTACAATACGAACTAATACAAACCAAAAACCCATGTATTACAGGCGATATCCGCACTGGGCTAAAGGCTAGAGCTACCACTTAAAAGAAACGGGACACGGAGATGGACGTATACAGTTGTGGTCAAAAGTTTTGAGAAGGACACAAGTATTGGTCTTCACAAAGTTTGCTGCTTCAGTGTTTTTAGATATTTTTGTCAGATGTTACTATGGTATACTGAAGTATAATTACAAGCATTCCATAAGTGTCAAAGGCTTTTTATTGACAATTACATTAAGTTTATGCAAAGAGTCAATATTTGCAGTGTTGAGCCTTCTTATTCAAGACCTCTGCAATCTGCCCTGGCATGCTGTCAATTAACTTCTGGGCCACATCCTGACTGATGGCAGCCCATTCTTGCATAATCAATGCTTGGAGTTTGTCAGAATTTGTGGGGTTTTGTTTTTCCACCCGCCTCTTGAGAATTGACCACAAGTTCTCAATGGGATTAAGGTCTGGGGAGTTTCCTGGCCATGGACCCAAAATGTCGATGTTTTGTTCCCCGAGACCCTTAGTTATCACTTTTGCCTTATGGCAAGGTGCTCCATCATGCTGGAAAAGGCATTGTTCGTCACCAAATTGTTCTTGGATGGTTGGGAGAAGTTGCTCTCGGAGGATGTGTTGGTACCATTCTTTATTCATGGCTGTGTTCTTAGGCAAAATTGTGAGTGAGCCCACTCCCTTGGCTGAGAAGCAACCCCACACATGAATGGTCTCAGGATGCTTTACTGTTGGCCTGACACAGGACTGATGGTAGCGCTCACCTTGTCTTCTCCGGACAAGCTTTTTTCCAGATGCACCAAACAATCGGAAAGGGGATTCATCAGAGAAAATGACTTTACCCAAGTCCTCAGCAGTCCAATCCCTGTACCATTTGCAGAATATCAGTCTGTCCCTGATGTTTTTCCTGGAGAGAAGTGGCTTCCTCGCTGCCCTTCTTGACACCAGGCCATCCTCCAAAAGTCTTCGCCTCTCTGTGCGTGTAGATGGTGGTGCCCCGATCCCGCAGCTGAATCAACTTTAGGAGACGGTCCTGGCGCTTGCTGGACTTTCTTGGGTGCCCTGAAGCCTTCTTCACAACAATTGAACCTCGAAGTTCTTGATGATCTGATTAATGGTTGATTTAGGTGCAATCTTACTAGCAGCAATATCCTTGCCTGTGAAGCCCTTTTTGTGCAAAGCAATGATGACGGCACGTGTTTCCTTGCAGGTAACCATGGTTAACAGAGGACGTACAATGATTTCAAGCACCACCCTCCTTTTAAAGCTTCCAGTCTGTTATTCTAACTCAATCAGCATGACAGAGTGATCTACAGCCTTGTCCTCGTCAACACTCTCACCTGTGTTAACGAGAGAATCACTGACATGATGTCAGCTGGTCCTTTTGTGGCAGGGCTGAAATGCAGTGGAAATGTTTTTGGGGGGATTAAGTTCATTTTCATGGCAAAGAGGGACTTTGCAATTCATCTGATCACTCTTCATAACTTTCTGGAGTATATGCAAATTGCCATCATAAAAACTGAGGCAGCAGACTTTGTGAAAATTAATATTTGTGTCATTCTCAAAACTTTTGACCACGACTGTACAAGAAATCCCGACAAGACATCAAACATGCAAAAGGACAATATAGGAAGAAGGTGGAATCCTATTACACCGGCTCCGACGCTCGTCATATGTGGCAGGGCTTGCAAATGATAACGGATTACAAAGGGAAACCCAGCCGTGAGATGCCCAGTGATGCAGAACTCGCAAACGAGCTAAATGCCTTTAATGCTCTCTTCGAGGAATACAACACTGAGTCCTGCGTGAAAGCCGCTGTTGTTCCGGAGTAAAACTTTTAAACAGGTTAACACTCACAAGGCCGCTGGGCCAGACGGAATACCGGGGCGCGTTCATTTTCAGTCTCTCCTTGTCCCAGTCTGTAATCTCAACATGTTTTAAGATGAACACCATTGTCTTTATTCCCAAGAACTCCAAGGTAACCTGCCTAAATGACTATCACCCTGTAGCACGCACATCTGTAATTATGAAGTGCTTTGAAAGGCTGGTCATGACACACATTATCACTCTCCCTTTAACTTGATCCTGGACTTCCTGACGGGACGGCCACAGGTAGTGAGGGTAGGCAACAACACTCCCGCCACGCTGACCCTCAACCCGCCACGCCCCTCAAGGGTGTGTGCTTAGTCCCCTCCTGTACTCCCTGTTCACCAACGATTGCGTGGCCACGCACGATTCCAACACCATCATCAAGTTTGCTGACGACACGACAGTGGTAGGCCAGATCACCTACGGCGATGAGACAGCCTACAGGGGGAGGTCAGAGACTTGGTAGTGTGGTGCCATGACAACAACCTCTCCCTCAAAGTCATTAAGACCAAGGAGCTGATTGTGGACTAGAGGAGAAAGAGGGGAGAGCACGCCACCATCCAAATTGACGGGGCTGTAGTGAAGCAGGTTGAGAGCTTCAAGTTTGTTGGCGTCCACATCACTAAGGACTTAACATGGTCCACACACACCTGCACAGTCATGAAGAGGGCACGACAGTGCCTCTTCCCCCTCAGGAGGCTGAAAACATACACCAGCCTCGACCGTAAACCGATACAGAGGGTGGTGCGGACAGCCCAGTACATTACTGGGGCCGAGCTCCCTGCCATCCAGGACCTCTATATCAGGAAGGCCTGAAAAATGTCCAAAGACTCCAGCCACCCAAGCCATAGACTGTTCACTCTGCTACCTTCCGGCAAATGGTACCTGTGCATCGGCACTCGGACCAACAGGCTCAGAGACAGCTTCTACCCCCAAGCCATAAGACTGCTAAATAGTTAATGGTTACTCAGACTATCTGCACTGACCCAATTTTGCACTGACTCTAAGCACACTCACAAACTATACAGGTATATGCACACACTACACTGACACACTCACACAAAACCCACACACATTCACATACATTACATACACACATTCATACACACACTCATATGCTGCTGCTACTCTGTTCTTTATTTTACTATCTATCCTGATGCCTAGTCACGTTACCCTGCCTTCATGTCATGTACATATCTACATCAAATACATCATACCCCTGCACATTGATCTGGTACAGGTACTCCCTGTAAATACTGTAGCTCCGTTCATGTGTATTTTATTTCTCTTGTGTTACTGTTTTTCTTTTTATTAGTATTTTTTAACTTCGCATTGTTGGGAATGGCTCGTAAGCAAGCATTTCACGGTTAAGTCCACACCCATTGTATTCGGCACGTGTGACAAATAAAAACTTTACTGAAAGGGTGTTGAAAGATAAAGGATCTGGTTGTCTTGTGGTCCCACAGACTATTGTGAAAGGTTGGGTGCTGACCATGACGGATGAAGTTGGCTGCTCTGGTTCCTTATTTCCGTCCCTCTGCCGTGTGTTTTATGTAAGCGCTCTAGTCCCAACTCCAACACGTGTTACATCACCCCTGCCTGCTATAAACCAGACACCTTTTCAGAGCAGCAAGTGCCGGGCCAGGCCAGTTCCAGCTGGATCTGTGCCTCTCCTCAGTCACCGCCCCCCATTCCACCCTTGGTACGCTATACATTGTGACCTGTTGCATGCTATATAAAGCCCAGACTGCGTGTATCTTGGGCTGCATGTGAGGAACTCTGAGAATGTTTTGTGCCGGGACTCTTATGGCGTTTTGGGTAATTTGAAGCCTGTCTTCAGAGGGGCTATATGGACACTCCTGACCTGAAAAAAATATTTTATTTCAGAATTTGTTAAAATTAGGTAATGGTCAGGGTTTGGTTAGGGTTAAGGTAAGGGTCAGTTTTTGATTTTAGTCATTTTGCAGGTCAGCTGTGTCCTTATAATCTCCCCTCTCACAGCTGGCTGATCACCTCCTTTTAAAAAACCTGCCAGCCAATGAGGAAACAGAATTGGGTCACAGCCCGCAATAACCGGCCAATTGGATGAAGGAAGGGGGAAAAAAGTTTAAGACTTCCTCTGCAACAGCTCATCTCAGGCAGGGACACAGATAAGATTAGAGGAGCAACAAGGCCAAAGCACGTTCTCACTAAGTGTAACCATCTGTGTACTTCAATATCAATATTATGGCAACTGTTTTTGCCATTTATATTTGACAAATAGCCTAAAGCTGTATATTCAATGGGCAGACTACACTATTCTGATAATTTGTCAGTGGCCAATAAAAGTGCCTTTCCTTATGTGCACCATCTTATCAAGGGCATCAAGAAAACTCTCCATTCAAACTTGTCATTTAGAAGGGGTTTATGACCCTGTAAATTGAGGGATCACCTGAACCAAATCCTGACTTGTCAAGATGATATACAGTGCATTCGGAAAGTATTCAGACCCCTTGACTTTTTCCACATTTTGTTACGTTACAGCCTTATTCTAAAATTGATTAAATTGTTGTTGTTTTTTCCTCATCAGTCTACACAACTACAATACCCCATAATGACAAAGCAAAAACAGGTTTTTAGAAATGTTTGCAAATGTCTTACAAATAAAAAACTGATATCACATTTACATAAGTATTCAGAACCTTTACTTAGTACTTTGTTGATGCAACTTTGGCAGCGATTACAGCCTCGAGTCGTCTTGGGTATGACGCTACAAGCTGAGCACAGCTGTATTTGGGGAGTTTCTCCCATTCATCTCTGCAGATCCCCTCAAGCTCTGTCAGGTTGGATGGGGAGCGTTGCTGCACATCTATTTTCAGGTCTCTCCAGAGATGTTCGATCAGGTTCAAGTCCGGGCTCTGGCTGGGCACCTCAAGGACATTCAGAGACTTGTCCCGAAGCCACTCCTGCATTGTCTTGGCTGTGTGCTTAGGGTCATTGTCCTGTTGGAAGGTTAACCTTCGCCCCAGTCTGAGGTCCTGAGCGCACTGGAGTAGGTTTTCGTCAAGGATCTGTCTGTACTTTGCTCCATTCATCTTTCCCTCAAGTTTTAGTTGCGTTTCGTAAAATTTAGTTTGTCGTTTTAGTTTATTTATTTGCACAAAGTAGAGAAATAAGTTGAGGAAGTTGAAAACCCAGGGTGGGCTTATAAAGAAGCCTCACCATAATCTAAATAGTAAATTCATAACACAGATTATAAAAAAAGGTATTCCAGACAGGATATCCAGGAAAAATGTACATAATTATATATTTTTTTTTTTATCACTCATACAGTACAAAAGAGGGTGATGAAAATACAACCAATGATATATTTTACATGAACATAAAACACACTAAATACAAACAATAATAGAACTCTACTTGGTCAACTTTAAACCAAGAAGTTAATCATCTAGGCTATTCAATTCAAAGACTACTACTGCCAGAGCAGTAGACTATCTGTATGCCTATCAATGCCTTTCAATGCTTATCTATCTTAACAGTAGGCTATTGATGAATACAAAGTCAGTTCATCCTTCAGCCAGTCAGCCCCCTTCAGGAGTATATTGCACACAGTCTGGAATGATTTGGCCCAATGGTGTTCATGACTCCTATTCAAATGCCCTTATTGGTAGTGCACAATGAAGTAGGGGATCTACAACTGGAAAGATCGGGGTGATGGAGAAAGAGTCAGCAGAACCTAAAGCTGTCTGTCTGCCTAGCTAGATGACACACCCAACTGCTGCTTCAGTTTCTGGAGCTGTTCCATGCTGATGTTGTTGCCTCCACACACCACGATCACCACAGGGCCCAGGTCCTGCGCCAGCTTGCCCTCCTTCTGCAGTCTGGGGATGATGTCACAGTACACAGCTGCCAGGGCAGCGCCACACGCAGGCTCCACCAGGACCTTCTCATCATCTGGAGATGCAGGAGGAGGAGAAGTGAGGAAGAGGAATTCAGCATCAGAGAGGCTTGTGGGCATGTTTAGGTAGACAGTAGTAATCATATGACCCTCTACACAGGTGTAGCCTACTGTTTGTGATACTCACCAACAAAGCGCTCGACAGCTTTGACAGCCTCCTGGTCTGTGACCAGCTCGGAGTAAACGGTGTGTTCGCCAGCAAGTTTCAGAGTCTGTGCAGATACTCTTGTCAGGCCCAACGTTGTGGCAATGCTGTGTAGATGAAAATGATAGAATTGTTGTTGGGCAAACGGCTTTGCCTTCTTTTTTTGTGCTAACATATGACTGTTTGGCTGTAATGTTTCAGCAATCCTGGTCTGTCGGTGTGAGGGTGACTCTTACGATTTCTTACCTTGTGATCTCAGGCAGAGTGATCAACTTCCCAGCCTTCATAGCAGCATTGAGGCTGTGTGCCCCCACAGTCTCCATCGCTATGACTGGAACATCGTCCCAGCCAGCGCGACGCAGTCCTTCGACAACCCCGTTCATGAGGCCTCCACCTCCAACAGACAACACCATCGCCCCAGGCTTTTCCTGCAGCTCAAACTCCAGCTCCTTCACCAGAGACGTGTGGCCCTCCCTACACACACATTGAAAACACATTGAGAAAAGGTTTTCAGTTTTCATTCACAAAACATTTTATGATGAATTGCAAAACAGTCCTTAGAATCTGCTTTGTATACATAGTTCTATGTTAACTGGAATGGAACACTAACAATCTTTTGGACTAAGCTATGTTGTAATTTTCATGAGACATGAAAAGCCTGCTGGTTCTGCTATAATGCTGCTGATAACATTGAAGTCTATTCAGCTGAAATAGTTAGGGTTTGGCTGTGAAATCAACCATAAACATTTGTTTGCCATGAGGGTTCAGTAACCTTGTAGAATTAGATTATCTTCAATCCCTCCTCTTGTTAACTGCAGCACAAAAATGCAAGATAAGACATCCTCATAGATTCTGCCAATCATCCTATCATAGCACAGAGAATGGTGTACAAATTTTACTCAGTAAAGCATGGTAACACTCAGGATACTACTCATCATAAATGTACACAAGAAAAGATGCCATGCAAAGTTTCATTTGGATTGGAATAGAGTGGAATGTTTATTATCCCTTATCAGCTTTCCTTATCATTTCATGGAAGACACTCTTACTTTGACTAATATTACATACACAGGAAATAGAGCAACACTGATGTTGCTGAAGTGTATTGATATGGTATCTGTCACTCACCAGATGAGAGGGTCATCAAAGGGAGAGATGAAGATCCATCCAGGGTTGTTGGCTACAAGCTGTTGTCCATATTCAATGCTCTCATTCAGCGCCTTGCCATGAATGACCACATTGGCGCCCTCGTCCCTCAGCCTCTCAACTGTTGGTTTGGGGGTGACACTGGGCACGACGATGGTGGCAGGTACCCCAAGCTTACGGGCAGAGTAGGCAGCCGCCATACCAGCATTTCCTCCTGTGATGGAGAAATGACATTGGCCACTTTAGGAAAACTATACAGAGTGCTTTTCTGAAAGATCCCATAAGCATATAGATTTCGGAGATATGTTATGCTTCTTGTATTGTGATAAAGATTTTTCAGTGGTCATTTCAAGCTAAGGCTGTGATTGGTTACTCACCTGAACAGCAGACAAATCTCTCGCAGCCTCGTTCAGCCCACTGAAAGACAACAAAGAGCACATGATATGACTCACAGTTCTGTTCCCCTTTACGAGAAGAGTTCAAGGACCCCCTCAGAAATGAACACATGCCATCACAACCCAGTGTTCAGACAGGGACTGACCACCTCAAACTGGTCTGGACTGATCCTACTGGGAACATGCTATATACAATCCCCCTGCACATACACATTGTTTTTCTGGGGCCCCTAACATGCATTCTAGCACAACATTATGTAACAACATCCCCCCATCTTACCACAAGCACCCCCTCACTCCACATCCTTTTCTAACTCATGAGCGTAAGACTGTAGGTATGGGTGATTCACTCACTGTCTTGCAAAGGTGTCCAATGCCCCTGATCTTGAAGGATCCTGTGGGCTGGGATGAGTCTAGTTTCAGGTAGACAGAGGTGCCTGCCACTTTGGTCAGGGCAAGGCTCTCCCTCAGTGGGGTGGCCACGTGAAGAGCTCTCTCCTGTGGGCTCTTCATTTCTCTAGTTGAGGACAGACAAGTTGATTAATTAGTGTGTTACAAGTGTGAACACACATGAATTCATATGTTTCAACAATTGTGGAGGAAGAGCTTAACATTCATGTACTCTTGTGTTCATGCACCACATTTTACAGACACTCTTATCCAGAGCAATTTGGGTTAAGTGCCTTGCTCAAGAGCACATAGGCAGGTGTTTTACCTAGTCAGCTCTGGGATTCAAACCAGCCACCTTTTGGTTACTGGCCCAATGCTCTTAACCGCTAGGCTACACTTTAGTGTTAATTCACAGAGAAAGATCAGCAGTGGATACAAGCATTAGAGGAAGAGCTTCACATCAATGAATGTCACCCTCATTAAAGGTTGAGTTCAATATCACTCTATTAGCACTACAGAAAGCACATCAATATAAACCTATAAGCAAGCAAGGTAGTAGACTGCCACTCTAAGACAATAAAAACGTAGTGATAAATACAGTTTAAAAAAAAAAGTAAAACAGGTGCTTATAATAGGTGCTTAAATATAATAATATTTCTTACACCAAATTAATTCTGTAGGCCTATTATTATGACCCTATAAATAGAAAATACGAATAATCCAAACAAGCACATATGTTGCAGGTTTTAAGACCCAACACAATCAAAGTAAAGTTTCACTTTACCTTAGTAGACTTCTGTTTCAGTGTAAAATGCAAACTTGTCAACAGTCAGGTCGAGCGGGACAATAGACAGTTCCAGTAGAGGTTTCCCTGATGAGAATTAGAAGATGGATTTATAGCTACAGTAGGGGGCTTGGCAGCGGGAACCAATCACCGTTGGGTACTCTTCCGCTGTCACACAACGCCCAATTTCCTTAAACGATACAAGTGGGGATTTAAGAGCTTTTGTCACCGAATAAGGAACCCCCCCCCCCCCCCCCCCCCTTCCCATAATAAGGTCTAAGACAACATAATATTTTGTACATTTCTGTTAAATATATAGATTTTAGGCTAGCATGTTGATGAAGTCAAATTGATTAACCCATATGATCACCGCTACATTTCAACAAAATAGGATAAACATGATGCCTTTCGAAATTAGAGGAAATATGTAGTAATTGTCCTGCACATTATGATACATGTTATTTAGATTTGCTGGGCCTATAGGCTGTGAACTGTAGTAACTCTTAATGGGCAACTCAACTTATATCATGCATGATCAAATAAGCCTAGATAGGCCTACAAAAATACGTAGCTATTGCTAAAATGATGATGGTCATAATTTGGATAATGGAAACAACGTTATATTACATTCCCCTCCCTAGAAGGAGAATACCCAATACAAAAGGAAACGTCCCTTGCTTATATTCACAAATGCACGTTTGTGTCCCTTGCTTTTATGTCCCTTGCTTTTAGTTTTATTCACATTTTACGTTATTGACAGCGTGTGATAAATTACTCCACTCTTTATTTAAACATGGGGTCAAAAATTGGGTCAGTCTATAGATAAGTGTACTGACCATTTTTACACGGTGTCCTCTGACTGCGCTGGCTTTGCTGCAGGAGTCCATATCATTGGCCTTACCAAAAGAGTCGCGACTATTTTGACTCTGCACTACCAAAAGCGGCGGGTTCGACCGAACGCATCTAGGCGAGTGGCCTCGCCTCAGCCGCAGCAAATGTCATGTTGACGACTCAAACCTGACTGATCCGGCTTGGAGTGGAAAGAGAAGCCCGAGAGTTTAGGCATTATAACAAATGGGTCGTTCCACAAAAAGAGTTCCCTTTGCATCCCTTTGATATTTGAAGTAGAAACTGTGCACCAATATTGCATTTTAAAAGCCTGTTATATTAAAGTAAGTGCCCTTTAATATAGATCACAGGCAGAATTCAATCAATCAGATTTCTTATATGAATAAAGACTTGCTAGTGCAAAAATTCTGCATTTTGACAAGTTTTTAACTCACTTAACCCTAACATTTCTCCAGGTTTTCACCATCATTGTAAAGCCCTAGTTATTGTTGTTGCTTTGACAAAGTCATTTCTGAAGATTAGTATTTATTTAATGTGATTAGTGATCAATTTACTTCTGTCCCTAATGTTAAGGTCAATGTTATGTAAACTGAACTCTTATTTTAATATGGTGAAGCTATCCTTTTGAAATATATTTTTTCAAAATAAACATTTAACATCTAATAGTGTAAAAGCAGGTCAGCTGGTTCTACTCTTTGCTGGTGTTTTGTGGTGAAAAACTGAGCGGGTAGAGCGTAACACGTCAACCCTGTTACTCATAGATAGACAGCCTAGACATTTTAAAACATTTTTTGTTGTTGTGTGTGTACCACTTCCTCCCGATATCTGGCGGGAACTCCGGACTTCTGCCTTAGCACACGTGACTGCCCTCCTGAAGCGTTTTACCAGTCTGAGCCATGTGAAAAGCTAGCTATTAGCTGGCGCAAGTGGGGACACTTCAGGTTGAGGAGTAAGTTTCACACATCCCCATGTGCTACACTTGCGTTCAATTGCCTCCCTGTTGCACACAGCTTCCATTCCCCCTGTCACAAGGGGATTTATGGTTGATTTAAGATTAAATCATCAACCCTGTTATGGTCAACCCTGTTACTTTATTTGGCACTTACTATAGTAATCGTCTCCTGAGTGGCGCAGTGGTCTAAGGCACTGCATCGCAATGCTAACTGTGCCACTAGAGATCCTGGTTCGAATCCAGGCTCTGTCGCAGCCGGCCGCGACCGGGAGACTCATGGGCGGTGCACAATTGGCCCAGCGTCGTCCAGGGTAGGGGAGGGAATGGCCGGCAGGGATGTAGCTCAGTTGATAGAGCATGGCGTTTGCAACGCCAGTGTTGTGGGTTCGTTTCCCACGGGGGGCCAGTATAAAAAAAAAAAATGTAATCACTAACTGTAAGTCGCTCTGGATAAGAGCGTCTGCTAAATGACTAAAATGTAAATGTAATTGTTTTATTTAATAACCTCTTGAGATGGGAAATAGTTGTTTTAATGAAGTTGAACATGTGCTTTTTATGACAGAATGTTTAAATCAGATGAAATCAAGATATTTTTGACCAAGTTACACTTCTCAAAAGGCACTGAATTGTTGGAACAACCCAAGTTTATGTGGTCCTCTGTAGCTCAGCTGGTAGAGCACGGCGCTTATAACGCTAAGGTAGTGGGTTCGATCCCCGGGACCAGCCATACACAAAAAAATGTTTATGCACGCATGACTGTAAGTCGCTTTGGATAAAAGCGTCTGCTAAATGACATATTATTATATATTCAGATACATTTTTGCTGAAAATAAATAAATTAATGATCCGTATGAACCCTAATCTCGCTGTCCGCATGTATATCTCGCTGTAAAATTGCCTATCGCAAAATGTCAAAGTTAAATAGACTCTATCATGCTATTAGACTTAAGAAATGAATTGCTGTAGCCTACACTATTTAACTAATTGCAATCACAGAGTACTTACATATTTTAGACCTAAGCATTATCTTTAAAGTTATATCATGCATGGACCTCTAACTAAAATAAAAACATTGAACTAAAGTTATTATATTGTATCAAATGACATCTGCAAATTGTCCTAAATAATGGAAAACGAACAGACCTACTACACTATCCAACGATTACGCACATAAATGTAGTCTTCCACAAAGCACTTTCTGTCTCAGCATAAAATGTATGAGTCTCTCACGATGAACATTAGAAAAATATACATGTTGGTGCAGACGTGATCAATGTCTAAAATCACAACTCGTTATGTGCGGTTAGAACTAGGTAAAAGCTGCGCACATTTCACGTGCGTCTGGAGAGGTTCAGTGGAAAAAAGATAAACAATCACTGACAACGTATTGGCATTCTGTCAAATACTGTCCCCATGATGAGAACATTTGATAAAATAATATGTAAAAGTTTCTGACTGATTGTATGTTATAGGCTACACTTGTAATGATCCCAATAGACCGTAAAAAGTGATCTAATAGGCTCTCCTTGTGATCTCTCCATGCTTGTGTAGCCTAGTACGCGCAATAGGCTACCCAACAGCGCATCATTTTAGTTTCAGTATTTCTAGGAAAGTCCGAGAGCATACATTGTGCAAACAGTTCCATAAACAATTCATGACAAAGAATGTTCAATCTGATTTCTGTCTACTTTCAAGTGATTAGGACTATGTGTAATATGACTGCATATGTGTAGGACTAGGCTTTTGCCGGCCTAGATGTCTGGCTGAGCTAGATGTCTGAACTTTGTGAACTGAAATGCTGAGTCAGAATCAGAATCTGAACTTTTCCTGAATCCCTCTGAATTATGCTATGGGGAGGTTGAATATTGCTTTATTCAAAGCCATTTTATATTAGGCTGTAGGCATATTTTATAAATGTTAAGGTCTAACTGGCTGCAAATTCATCAGCGGCAAATGTTTAGAGGTTTTCATTATCATATAGCCCAATTCTAGCTTTATCTTGAAGTTTAATCAATGCAGTAAACACAGGATGGCAAAATGAGAGGGAGGCCAGGCTCAGGACATAGACATCTACAACAGGTCGACAAGGTGTATGGCTGGCAGCGTCCTCTGGTGGCCAGTGTAGGCTACTTTATCCCATTGGTTCTGGGTAATGAAGCCATACGTTTCCTGACCAGTATTTGTATTTATTAGGGATCCTCATTAGCTGAAGGCAGCAGCTGCTCTTCCCGGGGTCCAAAAAACGTTCTGAGAACAGAAGTGAAATGTTCACCTGTTCTGGGAACCTTAATTTTGAGGTTGCAGTGAGGTTCTGAGAACGTTTTACTATGGTTCCCTGAAAGTTTTCCTGGGAGGTTTTATTAACTTTCTGAGAAAAGAAATTATAGGTTATTTAAAGGTAATTCAATAACGTTCTGAGAACATATTTCAATAAGACTTTTAATAACACTGCTAGCTTAGATTAACTATTTTGAACTCCAAGCACAGATAGAAATTCATTTGCTTAGGCATTAATCATGCAAACACATTTCTTTTTCATTCTGACATGGCGTGAGTGATATTCGAAACGATGATCTTCTATTTACCATCCATGGAATTAGTTCACTGTGCCACCAGGATGGAGCTAGCATGCCATGTTTTTTTTAACTTATACAAAGCTGTTCATTTTTGTCTATTCAAGCAGACCCCATTTCAAAGGAAACAAGCACTCATTAAGATCAGGTGTGGCCAATTAGTGGGAGTGGCTTAACAAGATAGAGGATAGAGAGAGTTTTGTTGATGCTGAAAACAGAATGTATATGTTTTTAAATAACCTTCTTAGAACGTTCTCTGAACGTTACTAAAGTTTTCTTGTGTTTTTTTTATGGAAAGTTTTAATTTTTCACTTTTAGAACCATGAGGAAACTTGTAGGAAACATTATGCTAAAGTTCTGAAATTCCCACAGAAGAACGTTGTTTCTTCTCTGAACTATTTGGAACATTCCCAATGTCAAACCAGTTAGAGAACATTAGTAGAACATTACCAAAATTGAAATTAAATGTAACCAAGTTTGAACTTTTAGGAAAGTAATGTAATTTTTTTCAATTTCCATAAATGTGTTGAGAATGTTCCAAAGCCAAGCAACTATCCTGCACCATTCCCAGAAAGTTGTGGGAAGGTTGTATGCAAAATAACCATAGGACAACCTAGCTTTCTCCAAGCTCTAAGAAAGATGGTTCTCAGAATGTTATGTGGTAGCTGGGGTTATGTGCTAGCTGGGAAGGTTACTTAAAGGAGCTATATGTAATATTTTTGCATTGTAATTTCAGAAAATGGCCTTAATATATCTACAGTAAAAGTGAAATGATAGTGTTTCACAATATGTCT